TCGGAATCTGCCAGATACAATTAATGGACTCTCAGATGAGAGGTCTGGAATATGGGAAGGGAACACCTAATGCATAAATTGCAGATATGTCATGATAAGTCAAGATAAATTGTTAAAGTTGATGTAAGTTGAATATACTGTCCAAAATGAAACAGCCAGTAAGTCGATGTGTGATGTTGGTTTCGCATTGTAAATACTTCCACAAACTTTTAAAACAGAATGAGCATACCTCAACATCGTCAAGATCATCCAATGTCTCAACAGCTATATTTGAAAGAATAACAGATGAAGCTCTGGTAAATAGGTTCTGCATTCGAGACTCGACCAAATCTGAAAACAAAAGAATATAAATTTATAAAGATTAGGGTTTAATTAAGTACGTACAACAGCTAAAAGAAGTTAGTATAAATTTCTGATAAACCATTGTGATATTTGTTCACGGCCATATGACAACGGAAGTTGAGTCATATAATTTGTGATTTGAAAGTCAAGTTTCTACAAGTTTAGGGTTATAAAAGCTTTTGATTTGACAAGAGAGACCAAGATTCATACAAGCTCTAAGGTCCAGTATTCATATGTTTTTATAAGATATCAGATACTTCATATTAGCTGAAGTACAAAACACAGTCTCCGTGATAAAAAATCGTTTCCCAAAAAAAGATAGTCAACTGACCTATATCATACGCAGCGTCATATTGGCCCCTGCCAATCATTGCAAGCATCCGCAGGAAATAATGGTTGCAGAATGTACCTGGAATATTTTAGATGAAAGTTAGCCAGAAGATAGAGCATACAATGTAGTTGATTTTTTTTCTCCTCTAATGCAAGTGTACTAAAAACAATGTGAGCTTGATGATAAAATAAATGTGACTTTATGCTGGCAGGGGCAAAGTACTCTTAACTGATCTTAAATCATCAGAAAGAGGCTATAATGTCACTTGAAAATACAATACTAGCCTGGTCTCTAATGACACAATAGCAAAAACCCTTACCTATTCCAAAAGTGTATATACGTGGAGCTATAGGACCTGCTTCTGTAAGTCGATTTTTCATTGCATCACAAATTTGCCTCTCATCTTGAACAGACCCATCAGTAACAAGGAAGATGATAGGAAATGAACCCCGAGTGTTCGATAGCATCTCTATTGCCTAAAATAGAGGAGCAACAAAAGATAATGAATAACTCTCAAATGATATTATTTTAGACAATCCTTGAAGACCATATAAATTGGGGTTAAAAATTAAAAAGGTAAACTGGCAAATATACATATCCACACAAACACTCATATCCAGATGCAGAAGTACTAGACCATGAAAAATGGATACTCTTTAAAATTATCATTTTTTACCACTGTAATGTACCTTAATACTTAATAGATAGCCATGTGCTTATGCATGAAAGAATCAGAAAGAAACATAACTGGTAAACTTAATGGCAGAATTCACAAAGAGGCAAAGAAGCTTGAGAAAATACTTGGGTAAGGGGAGGCAATATATCTGTATCACCGCCAGCAATAAGATTTATGCCAATCCACTCAATGGCCCTTTCAACAGCCTCCTTGCTAGCCGATTTCATTGATGTAGAAGATAAAAAAGTCTGTCCATTAAAAGCTATAATACAGAACGAATCTTCTGGATGAAGCTTTGAGAGGGCTGCAGATAGTACATTCTTAACATCATCAAGTGGCTTTCCCTGCATACTTCCACTAATATCAACAACAAACACTACATCCCTTCTGAAAACCTGAAAGACCAATTAGGAGGGAAGTAAGAATAAATTTTTAAGAAAAATGAAAATACAGAGTAAGAAATAAAAAATGAAATGTAGAAGTTCTATTTAATATAACACCAACCTTCCTGCTCTGCTCGTTTCCTGGTAGAAGATAGACAGAGAAAATTTCTCTTTGATCAATGTCATGCATGGGCGGTGACTGCACGAGAACAGCACCATGTGTATGACTTGAAGAGACCTAGAAATGCCCAAATATATTAGAATGACAAAGACCTTGTAGAATCTGTCCACATATAGCTGGAAAAAAATGCATGCGAGCCTTACAGTGAATGAGAAATTAAAGTCGGTATTTGACCAATTGAGAACATCTGCCTCATACAGAAAACCCAATTTTCCAACTTGGCTTACTCCCCGTAATTCCTGGAAAAGTCAAGGGAAATATAAAAAGGCTGTCACTTTGCTTACAAAAATAATAAGCCCTCAGAGTTATAATCAAAGCTGCACCTTCAAAGAATGACTAGCTGTCTTGCATGAAACTTCAGTTCCAACGCCAGAGTTCACGTTTAATTGGATCTTTTCCTTTTTCAGGTATTTCTTCCCTGGGGGAATGACATACCCCGGAAAAGTGAATGGTACATTCAAGGAGAAATTGCCATTTGAATACGATAATTTCTGAGACCAACTCATTTTGATTGAGATATTGGCTCCCCCATTGACCTTGAAAAAACAAGAAGAGTACATTTTAGTGAAAAGAACAAGAATTAAAATACAGGATTCTGATGATAATAAAAACCGAAAACTGTAAAAACGAAAGGTATGCCGATTCTTGGTAAGCTATTATTACCTGAGGGGTTGTCAATGTAAATATATGAGGTTTGACTCTGAGAAAGCCTCCCTCTACATGGGTCACCTTCTCCATCTCCTTGTCATCTTCCAATTGACTAAGTTGAGTATGGTACGATTTACCGTTTACGTCGACCTCAACACCTAGAATTGAACCCTGTTAGCACAAATATATAATTTGCTTAACAATAGGGATCAAAACCAACACACCTAAAAATTCAATCAATTTCAAAGTTTTCACATTTCAGCAACAATATCATCATTAAATTCAAAAACGCAAGAACTAGTTCAACAAATCAGAGACTCCAAAAGCAATAATTTAACGGACAGAGAAGCAAAAAAGATTCTAACTTTATTCGAATTTACGCACCTGTTCACCCATAGGAATGGCAACGCGGCAACCGCAGCTCTTGCTACCCTTTATGCAATGGACCCTCCACGACCCAGAAACCCGAATGAAGGCGGTGTCCATGTAGCAATCGACCTGGAGCTCGACCCGGTTCATCGTCAACGGAATGAGCGCCGGGGGGTCGCACCTTCCGTGCACGTGGGGCTGGTAGCTGGGGATGTCCGGATTGTCGACGATGCCCGGGTCGGAGATGACTGCGTAGACCATCGGCGCCGTCGGGAGGAAGGCGCACGACGTCCCTTTGTCCATCGACGGCGGCTGCTTCGGCGGCGACACCGCTCGATCCTTCCCGAAGTATAGTCGTTTGGAGAACTTGAGACCGTCATCCACGGCTTTGGAAAAATCCTCGGCCATTTCCGACGATCAAATGGGGAATTTCGGAGCCGAGAATTTGTGGGTCAGCAGGAAATCGGATGTTATAGCAAATTGGGAGTCGATTGGCGATCGCAGAATTAGAGGAGCGAGAAAGAGACACAGAGAGAGAGATGCGTGTGACCGTTGGGAAACGCTGGGGCTTTTCCTTTTTTTGAATATTTAGAGCGTTTTGTGCTTTTCGACGCGCTCGAAAACCAGCTGGCGAAACGACGAATGGCATATCGACGCGTGGAGGATCCCAGGGGCGTTTGGATCTTGTGTTTCGCGGAGGACGCTGTGGCGCATGTTTGCGCGTGGGAATGCGCGGGTATTGGTTGGAAGATTGAGTGCGCTGGTGAATGAGAAGCACGTGATCGTGGCTTTTGGGTAGGAAGGTTAATCTGGATTTTACGGGTGATTACGTGGATGATCAAGCGGGTAATTAGAGAGTGGGATTGATTAGGACATGGATCCTTTTTTTTCCTAAAAAAAATCTTAGGACAACAACACGTGGAGCGTTGAGGTGACGCCATGTGGTGTGTAATAGCAATTTGGTGGGTTGTCCATAAAAGCAAGATGGGAAGATTTTGACATGATTTCAACTTTTATCAACATTAATCAATATCTTAAAAAGTTCACAAAACAAAGAATCAAATATTAATTAGTAAATAAGTTGAATTCTTAAAGTTTTGATAGATATTTTAATAAAATGGGAGAAACGTACGAGAAAGTTCAAAAAATAATGATTTCTTACCTATTTTATGGATGAGTTAAAACAAAATAGAGGATGAGGATGTAAATTTCCGCATTCTTCTCATTTGACAAAAATGTAATTGTAAAATAATAACACCTAAGATCAAGGTCAAGAGTCTCAAGCACCCACGATGAATAAGGGGTTTTGGCCAAAGAATCTCTGATGCCAAAGTTAGAATTTGAGAGATAAGGTGTTTAGGAATTTTTGGTAGAAAATGAACTTAGCTTTTTGGAGAAAAATGAGACTATTTATAGGGGTGTGGCCAACCCTATTTGGAAAATAGGGACCGGCCACCTATGGTGGTTTTATGAGATTAATTGTAAGACATTATGTGACATAATATCTTGCAATTAACATGGTAATCAATCCCAATTTAAATAGAATAATTGGGAGTTATCTTTTCAGTGAGAGTTTTGAATAAATACTATTTTGATCATCTTTGACTCATTGTCTGTTGCATGCGCGTGAGAATCCCGATGTGTCTCGAGGGTAATTTTGTCTTTTCACCCAAAAGTTTACGTGTTGCCTCCATAATTTTTTTGATTATTTTTTGCTCAACAGACGACAAGTCGTCTTTTTTTCGTAGAATCGATTTTAGCGATGGAATTATGTTTTTCCTACTACATAGGATGGTTGCCTAATTTTACAAATTCAATATCATCATTGTTAAGTCTGATCGATTTAATCCACTTTCAATGATAAACTCTCTATACACTCGAGTTTGAGTTTGCATTCTTGCAGTTTAGATTATTTTGAAGTAAATTATCCCTTATATTGAAAACACAATAAATTATTGAATAATTTCAGTTTCTTTGGTTTGATTCTTGTGCTTGACTTTTCGTTTTCAATATTCTCAAGGATCAGATGAACGTGTACAAAAGCAACAAAATTCCCATAGAAAATGCATATGGAAGATTAAAAAGCTGTATATATTCGACTATTTGGAATTTGACATTACAATTTACGAGTACACAAAATTCTACACAAAAAATTCATGACTTGAAAATCTCATTCTTTCAATCCTGGATCTCTAATCCTACCTCCCTCTGCAGAATATCTGAAATCTCGCAGCCTCAATCTCGGGGGTTAAGCAAACTAACCAAAACTGAAGAGAAGGTATCGATCAACGAAGATACAAACCTACAACAAGAGATATACAAAGTACACCACAGGGACCGGGATTCACATTGTCCACATAATGTTGTGGTCGGTGAATCATCTGGTCGCCATTTTCTCCAGCAATCAAAGTCTGTGCCCAACTTCAATGTAGAACTTCGCCCGTGACATCTCCCCTTCTTTGGGATGGAGGCCTTCAACCCTTGACCTGAACCATGGAGCCGTTTTCAGGCGTTTGAGAAAAACTTCACCGGTATCAATTACATTGGACTAGATTTGTGCAAAAAGAATTTCATTCCATGTATCTGGAACACCAGGTAAACACCAATGCAGACAATCTTGCACGCCTGGTTTCGCTGTTATGCTGAATCGGGACATATGACCCTCATCCCTAACCTGGGATAGAGCTGTTATATCCAAGAGCTTAACCCCTGTTCCCTTCGCTGCGCCTGCAGCATCTGTGTCACTAGACACGTCTTGCAATACTTCCTTTCCTATTGACATAGGAGTGGTGTTGTCACAGCTTCCTCCTGTGTTCCATTCACCACCTACAAAATGCCTCGGCGAGATGGTCCGGTAGAAAGCTTTGAGACCTGGGTATTTTGGGAGCTGGGAGTTCACCCAATTAATGATACTGTGGACTGTCACGTTCTTGGCCTTCCAAATCACAGCTATCTTCCTGTCAGTGTTCGGCACACCCCCAAGATGCATTACCCAGCGGTTAGCTTTAAGCTTTCCACGATTCCAGTGGTGCCCAGTATTGAGGACCAGGATGTTAAGTTTATGAATATATTGGCGCAAGAATGCAGGTGGCCTATCAAGGTGCATGGCATAATCAGTGGTTGGGTTTGAAGGATCAATAGGCTCCAGATCACAGAGGGTTGATGACCAGTAATAGAGGATGGTAGTGTTGGTGCTTGGGAACCGATATGCCCACCCACCAGGGCGGAGATCACCACGCGCTTGGACTATCCCGTATTCAGGCCCCACATCTATAACATCATGCCTCTCCTTACCACCTGTGATCATGCACATTAACGACTGGAACTGCTGTCGGCCCAATGAATCTCCAACAAAAGCTAGAGTTTTGTGTTGCATCCTGAATACAATAATACAATACTCACATTATCACAGTACGTCAGGCTATAGTCGCTCTGACAAATAAAGAAGAAAAAGAAGCAAATAAATCACTCAAAGTGATTAAAACCTAAAGAAAAAAAAGGTTAAAAACCTTAAATTCTTCAAATAGATGAACGGACAAGAGAAACTAAAATGCAAGGTATTTTTGAGGTGTCCATTATTTGGAAAGTGCTGTAAGCCTTAGCAAGGTCAAGTGTAGAAACACTAATGGTCTATGAAGCCACCGAATCCTCGATTGATACTTATGTGTACGAAATAAGAGATCTACTAACTAAAACAACATAACTTGTTCGTTAACTTGAGCGCAGAATGGATTGCATCTATAGAAGAAACAATCATTATAGATCAGATTTATGCATAGGAGGGGGCTAAGGTCACATCAGACCAGATCCAAACAAAGAATAGTAATAATATGAAACCTTGCAATCGAAACTGTTTAATTTTAACAATTTAATACCTTTTCAAGAACTTAGAGCCTTCAAATTCTTCCATTTGGCAATCTTTGGGCTGCCATGAAACCTTCTCATAGGCAAAATCCGTGCGCTGTGTCTTCCGGCAAGACCACATACTTGACAGCCACTGTTTACAGCCATGCCCAGAATACAGAGGCTTCTTATGGTCCACAACCCATTTTCCCTTTGCATAATTGCAGACTGGAGCTATCGCCAGATAAATGACAATCAGTAATATAATCACGAAAGCTAACAAATAACAAATTGGTCTAGGTCAAGATTCTTTTATGGCATAACTTAAAAGAGATTATTACCTGGAGTTTGCGTGTGTGTTGTCAACTTGTCAACTGAGGTATTTGCATACGCAGAACCTAATGATGTCCCTATCTCCCCATTTTGCTTTTGCACATCTGCATTATTTTCCTCTGCTTTTTCTTTCTGTCTTACATCAACAGCCTTGCCATCTATTTCCGCTTCCTGAACTTGTTTACGTTTTTCTCTTTCTTTTGACACACTTGTTAAAATCCCTGCACCATAATAACATACAATTCAAGTCCATATTATTTCATGATGTTTAAAGCATAAAGATGACATGTTGACAAGAGAAATAGAATTACAGGGATGAATGTCAACATTTGAACATGTCTGTACAAAAAGAAAAACAAGATAGTAATGTCATAACAAGATAATTTTAAGAGAATATTTGATTTGGCACAACACCACCATGCTACGCTAGTGAACACAACAATTTGACTTACAAGACGTACGACAAATTAAGATATACAATCAGAAAACCAACATATCAATCACAAACTCTTCACAAGGATCTAACTCCAAGAGCACAAAGGAAAACAATACTTACCATTCTTCTCAACCTGGTTTGATGCTATGTCACTACTAATCTCTTCACTTTTATCAGAGTTTTGTTCAGAGTCTGGTGGAGCTCCGAGTTGTAATTCTTCTTTTACAGTATCTTCTCGAACAAATGTTGTTACCCCTTTGCCCACATCTATTTCTTGTTCTGAAGGTACATTGTTATCTACAAAATCATCCGTTATCTCTGCGCCGAACACCAAATGGAAAATACAAACAAGCTATTGAGTATTGACAGAAAACCAACAGCGTTTGTCTAAAGGAAAAGAAATGCACTACTAAAGTATAGAGACAAACCTGGACCCAAATGCAAACGGGTTTGGGGCGGTACCAAGCCAGTAAGAATCGGGGTTTTCTTCCATCCCCATATAAGAATGGTGGTGCACAAGAGAACAATGGTAACAAGAGAGAGGTGTTTACCCTTCAGTCCATAAAAGCATCCTTTCATTCTACATCCACAATACAAAGATCATACAAGCATGTTAGAACTTAAAAACATCATACAACTTTACACAGTTTCCCGGTATCAAAAATGTGTCTGCTCAATACAAATCTCAAGATAGCAATGAACAACTCCGTCTTTCGACATGGATTCACTCTATTACCGCACGAAAACACGCATTGAATCGATGAAGGAGCCTAAGATTCAATGCATCATAAATTAATGGTTCAAAATGATAAACAGTAATCCAACAAGCTCCCCCACCTCTAACAAATTGAATGCAGAAACAAAATCCTAGCATATGAAGGCTTAAGCAATCATGGGTTTGTCCTAAATTATACAAGACTTCGAATTCGAAGCTGAAACAGTGGCATTTCTCCAATGGAAAACCCCCGGATCTGAAAAGGGTTCGTTTCCTGCATACAAGTAGCTAAATTGGGGGATAAAATACAAATTAAAGCTTGAAACTTTAGCTGCATCTGAGAAGAAGACAGACCGGATTACCTGAGACGGAAACTGCCCAAAAACGCCAGCAATTCCCAGCACCGGATTTACCGAATTGAGAAAGTTAGTGAAAATTTGTGGAGAAAATGGAAAGACGTGTGAGAAATTTGTTAGGAGAAAAAAAGGGGGAAATGGAAATTCTGGTAGTTTGGTGGGAGGGCTGGGGATTTGACGGAACGGGTTGAGGCGCATTACAGTTGTGGAAAGAAATCGTACGGATTATTCAAACACTACGCGTGTGACAACTGTTTTTTTTTTTTTTTTTTTTTTCAATTAAATTATATAGTTTTGTGTTTAAATTAGAATAAAATCTTCTTTTTCTGCTAATATATAAAACTATGCGTTGCCAATTTATGAAACGATGTTCTTATTATTAGAATTGTTTATATTATAAATCATTCTATAAAGTTATTTTTGCATAAAATTAAATTAAAACTAAAATCGTTCAGTAATCGAACTGTATAAAAATAGATGAATGAAATTAGTAAAAGTATTACGAATCTTCTATTTATTTGGTACAATAGATTGACTAAGCAATCTAGTTTTAATTCATTTTTTTAGAGAATATTTACATAGTGATTTATAATATGAACAATTTTGATCACATGTACAAAATTCTGTAATATAAATATGAAGAATTTTGAATAAGAATTTTTACGTATATTTAAATAATCAAATATTATTTTTTGACAAATGAAGAAAAAACATTGTTTTGATTGTTACATTTATTTTTTAAATGAAGAAAAATCTTTTATCAATCCGTGAGGTTTGACGACACAATACTTTTGACTAGTGAGTTGTGGCCATCATTTTCTTTTACGAGAGTACGTCAGTTTCTTACATAAACGTTTTTAATAATCTATTTTTTTTATAAATATTTTAGGACATTTGTTTTGTTATTTTAAGACATATTTACTTACAAAATTTGAGAATTAGAATTATTTTGATTATTAAGTTGTCTACATTTACTAAAATAAAAAGAACTGAAATCAGTTCGCTTCTAAATTTTTCATGAAGATAAAAAAATATTAACATTCTCCTAAAATTCGTAATTAAATATCTAAATATCAAAATTCAAATCAACTTTAAATTCTTCCATTCCTTCCTTATTCCTCCTTGAAGGAATTTTTTCTAACAAAAACTGTAATTATTTTAAAGAATAAAAGTAGTCAAAACTACAATAGTATTCAAAATGGACAACAAGGGTCAATAATAGTCAGCTAAATATGATCATTTTCCGACCCATATTTTTCACACAAAAATATTAGTTGACTTTTTTTTAGCAAGATTATCTACATTAAGGGAGGAGTGGCTAAGATCCAACAAATATATAAAATAATAATTGATGAAATACATAAAATAAATAAACGTAATCACTTAGTACTATGGTCTAGTGGTATTCCTCTTCACTTATAAGTGAAAAGTCTTAGATTCGATTCTCACCAAAGGTGAATTTGAACTACATTATTACTAGCTTCTTGTGAGGTTAAGATCACCTCTTCTTCAAAAATATCGTTTGTTAAAAAAAAAATGTAAAATTCATAATATATACTTGGGACCACTTGACGAGTCACATTCACCCTTTCTTGATATTTGGACAAATCACTTAAACTATACTTTTTCTCACTCGAATATTTTCTTGGTTTGTGCCCGTTAACATTGCTATTTTGGAGGCAGATTGTCTGCCCTCCGAATATGGTGTCTTTCTATTTATATGGTCACGGTTAATCCAAGTTAATATTTTATATTCTTATTATTTTTTGTCTTATTATCTTTATAAAAAAAATTAACATAAAATATTGACGTGGCTTAACCGTGACAGCACAAAATAGGAGGGCATGAAGAGGGCACCATATTAGGACGGCAAACAATCTGCCTCCTGCTATTTTTCATCTCATCACGAATACTGTGTTGACCTTTTAAGAGTGGTTTGGTACTGTTGATTGGCTGATAGAGAGTTGATACTTCTCTCGAAACTATTGTTTCTAAATATGCTGATGGTCCAATGGTAAATGACGGATTACGAGACTTTCTTAAAACAAAAAATTGGAGATCTCAGGTTCGAAACCTTCTGTTGGTGTGGAAGCCAGTCTTGTAACCAGGGGATGCTGAAATATCTATATGAGTTTTTCCGACCCTCAAAAAAGATAAATAATGATATTTTTAATATTAGAAAAAACACTTTTATTTATAAATACGCATTTTCAATCTTTCTAAAAGCATTCCTGGATAATAATCTTTAAAATCACATGCCAAACGGTCCATAGCTTTGTAAAAACTGATACCACCTTTAAAAATCACATGCCAAATGGGCCCTACATTTTGTAGCATTGGGCCCGTTCCACAGACGTGGCCCATTAACAAGCGGTTCTTTCCCTGCCTCCACCGGTAAGTCTCCAGCAGCAGGCAACAGCACAGAAGAAGAAGAAGAGGGAGAGAGACACAGAAGCTGACCGGAAGCAGAAGCAGCACCGTCAGGTAACCTTAACTTTGCCTCCTCCTCCCCTTCCTTCTTCTTTCACTGAAAACCCTAAAACTCTAACGCAATTGGAAACGTCGTCGTACTAGGCTCAGCTGGAAATGGAGTTCACAGACGGTACCCCAGCGCCCAACTCCCTCCAGGCCATCTGCTACAAGCGCGGCTCCCTTCAGCTACTCGATCAGGTCTCTCTCTCTCTCTCTCTCTCTCTCTCTCTCTCTCTCTAAGAATTCAATTGTATTTATTTGTTAAATTTTTATGGGATTAAGCTCTCTCTCAGCGAAAAAATGGTAGAATTTAACTATTAGGTTTGTGGGTTTTGAACAGACGAAGCTCCCATTGCAAAGTACGTATTTGGATATCCGGGACTCCACAGATGGATGGTGAAAGACTGAAGCTTTGCTCTTTCCAAGTGCTATGAATCTTTTGTTTTCTGATTTTACGAATTCGGTTCTTGTTTTCTTTTTTCAGGCACGCAATCAAAGATATGGTGGTGCGCGGCGCACCCGCCATTGCTATCGCGGCGGCTCTCTCATTGGCTGTGGAAATTTTTAACTTGGAGGATTTCAATGGAACCCCCGACGAAGCGTTTTCTTTCATTGTCATGAAATTGGAGTACCTTGTCTCCAGGTATGTTTGTAGTTTTCAAGTGTTTGAATTGTGGAATTGATGCGGCATTCTGATTGTGTGGTGTCCATTTTAGCCGACCAACTGCTGTCAATCTTTCGGATGCTGCAGCTAAACTGAAGCAAATTGCATCCGAGGTTGCCACTACTACTTCGGACGCAAGGAAAGTGTTTGAGGTGCTCTTTCCTTCGAAATCTGAAACGTTACTTTTCTTGTGATTTGATTTTGGCCCTAAGAATCTATTTGATAATGCTAATCTTCCGTTGTACTTGCTTTGTTTGCTCAATTTGATAGGCTTACATAGAAGCTTCCGAAATCATGCTCAAGGACGATGTAGCCTCAAACAAGGCTATTGGATCTCATGGAGCAAGTTTTATTCAACACCTACTGGGAAACTCTAAGAACATTTCTATGTTGACCCATTGCAACACTGGCAGGTATTTTCCCGGGAACGCATACTTGATGATTTGGTTATTTACATTGAACAAACAAAGGGTGGTTTTACATATATAGACTCAATTTTTCGTATTGGTTTTGTCTGACCGTGATATGTTTTGTAAATGCAGTCTTGCAACAGCTGGTTATGGTACTGCTCTTGGTGTCATCCGTTCACTTCATACTGAAGGAGTGTTAGAAAGGGCCTATTGTACAGAGTCGCGTCCATTCAATCAAGTGAGTGTCAACTCTCTAGGTGTTCGATTTTTTCTTAGCATCAAACATTCTCCACAGAATTTTTCGTGATATTCACATACGTTAAGTGTTGATATTAGTTAAACAAAGTGGTCTTGAGACTAGTAGCATGCTGTTGTTTGAAGTCGGGTGAAAGTATCGTTGGGATTTAGTTTTGCATCCGAACATGTTGGAAGCCTGCCTCGGTGTTATATTTAGCCACTCTTGTGGTGTAAATGCCAGGTCATTGAGCTGATAGTTGTATTTAGCTACTCACTTAAGTGAAAATATTCAAAATGCGTTTCTGAATATTATTGATACACGATTATAAATCAATTACAGGGATCCAGACTCACAGCATTTGAGTTGGTGCATGATAACATACCAGGCACTCTTATAGCAGATTCTGCTGCAGCTGCATTAATGAAATTTGGACGTGTGAATGCTGTAGTTGTTGGAGCAGATCGTGTGGCTGCAAATGGTATTTGAAATGGAATCTACCACTCATGAAATGGAATCTACCACTCATCTGCTTTAGCATTCTATTCATATGGAGGTTTGTGTAACTGATTTACTTAATTCAGGTGACACCGCTAACAAGATTGGAACCTACAGTGTTGCCGTAAGTGCAAAGCACCATAACATTCCATTTTTCGTGGCTGCACCACTCACTTCCATCGACTTATCTCTTTCCTCCGGGGAAGAGATAATAATAGAGGAGAGATCCCCAAAGGAATTGTTGAACACACACGGAGGGCTCGGGGAACAAGTTGCTGCATCCGGAATTGCTGTCTGGAACCCAGCTTTCGATGTTACCCCTGCCAATCTAATAACCGGTATCATAACCGAGAAGGTATACTCACTCTTCTCTATGTGATATAATCAATTAGAGCCCATTGTGTTTGAATGTGATGACCTTGTGTTCACTTAGCAGGGTGTTATTACCAAAAAGGGCACTGATGCTTTCGACATCAAGGGTTTTGTTCAGAAGGCAGCCGTGCAGTCCGGTGCATAACGGAGCCTTCTGGCATTGGATGAAATATTCCCCGAGGTGGTGACTGTTAGTGCTGTGTAACGTAATATATAGAGAGCTTTGTGCTATATATGTCGAATAATTGGGAGAATCGGTCTTACTCCAAGCGATGACTGTTCTCCCAAAATGTAAGCAGGCCATTTTTATGGTATCATTGGTAGATGTAATAAGTAGAAATTTTATAGTAAATAAGGGAAGTGGGTGAGAAGATTTGGAAGAAAATTCATATGGTTTTCTTGGGACTTCGTCCATGAATGTGAATGTTTTCTCGGTCGCTCCTTTCTCGGCCGATCCCGGAAGTTTGTGTAAGCATGTAGTGGTTTTTGAGACTATTGAAGTACCCTGAGCAATACAATATGTATGGGCTTCATATGGGATGTTTGTAGAGCAATCATCAATAAGAAGTTTCTTGGGGATCAAGCATCACATTTTTGTTACATAAGTAGACTAAATTGATTAGAGGGTGAACAAATTATTAAGAAATTCACTCGCACCGGACTTCGAGTGTAAGAGGAGATGCACTTAACTACTTGAGCTATAAAACTGTAGTGCAAATTTTCATGAAGTTCGCCCTCTTCGTTTGGTAGAGACTAGTTCACACCTTTGAGCAAACATTGGTTAACTCAACCCTAACAACTCCCAGGACAAAGTTAGTCCATCACTAACACATAATAACCGGAGGAAAAGAAAATTATAGCCCATCCCGTTGAAAGTTCTTGATTCCGCCATCGACTACAACATCACATGAGTCTAAGGGTTAAAACTTCACGTCTATTATTAATTAACGTGACATGAGCGTATAACTGGGTCACAATAAAACTGTTAATAGATTGTGAATTTGGGCCGGAACTCCGGTTCGGCCCAATATTTAGGCCCATAATATCGACCTCTTCGTCTCTCTTCCCCTCACAAAGCTAGCTTCGCGAATGACGACCAGCTTCTTCTGTAATCTGTGAAATGCAGAGAAAAAGGTCTTCATCCGATACAAGTATCCAAGCAATTAGCTTTTCTAAAGGTTAAGGGATAACAGTTCATCGGATTTCAATTGGGTGGTGTTTGGAGACAGGGATATCCGAGCAGGTGAAAAAAAACGAAATATGAAGAAATCGCCATTGCCGTTGCAGAATGCGAGCGGCAGTAGCAAGAATCAGAGTTTGGGGAAGGAAGCTCTGGTGAAGCTGCTGAGGTGGCATTTTGGGCATCCTGAATTCAGAGGGAAGCAATTGGAAGCCATTGAAGCTGTTCTATCAGGTATATTATGTATATTTTATTTACATTTTACTCAGTACGGTATAGAATTGCTTGTTTGGTCGCTGAGAAAATGCGGGAAAATGTTTACAGCTGACTTTGGAAAAACCCCATTTTTTGTTTTTGTGTTTTGTGGGTTGCAGGGAGAGATTGCTTTTGTCTTATGCCCACTGGTGGCGGGAAATCCATGTGTTATCAGATACCGGCTCTCGCCAAGAAAACCGGAATCGTGCTTGTTGTCTGTCCTTTAATAGGTGAATTGTGTGTAAATTTATGTGTGTGTATAAGTGCATTACATATCATGCTTGATGTTTACGTGTTTTAGCAAATGAAAATGTTGAACTTGACTCAAATTTTGTTTTGCATTTTGTGTGCAGCCTTGATGGTAGGTAGGCCTATGATTGCTCTCGGTCGAATTTCGGTAACTTTCATGCTTGAGAATTGAGTGTGGGATTTTGGTATGTTTCTTATTTGACCAGGAAAACCAAGTGATGGCATTGAAGGAGAAAGGAATTTCTGCAGAGTATCTCTCCTCGACTCAGACAACCCAAACCAAAAATAAGGTAGAGTTCGGGTTTAGGACGTCTTTCTTGCTTTGCATCAAAATGACTTCCACTGGGATCAAAAAATATTGGTGCCTATGTATTTATGCATGAGAATATTGATTTCTCTCTTTTGCATTTTAAGATTCATGAAGACCTTGACTCTGGAAAACCATCTCTGAGGCTGCTTTATGTGACCCCCGAATTGATAGCAACATCTGGATTTATGATGAAGCTGACAAAGATTCACACGAGAGGGTTGTTGAATCTCATTGCCATAGATGAGGTGTGACGCTAGATTGTTTTTGTACCGATAACCAGTGTATGTGAATGTTTGAGTTTCCTTGACAATTTTTCAGCTTTTGTTTAAGTTACATCTCTTTTTCAAAAATTTCAGGCACATTGCATCTCTTCATGGGGCCACGATTTCAGGTTTGTAATAGATATATTGTCTCTTCCACATTTACTATTTATTATGTTTGATCCACACAATTGGGGGATTATAAATCATCAGAAACTCTTAAGTGAATGCAATAAGAAAACCAAAACTGTCTAAGAACCTTACTAGTGGTAGTAAAAATCAAATGCCAGCATAACCCTAATCCCTATCAGACATACTGTTAGATTTCATGACCTATTTAAGTCAACTTCCCTATCATTAGTATTCGAATAAAGTGAGAGTGAAGCGCTACAATGTTGATCTATACGCCATAGAAACTCTGACATTCTTTCTTTTGGTTCTCTGTCTCCTTAATTGCTGTATTGAAATAGGCCTAGCTACCGTAAGCTGTCATCTCTAAGGAGCCACCTCCCAGGTGTACCAATATTGGCTCTAACAGCTACAGCCGTTCCTAAGTGAGTCTTTTGTTACACTACACTCTGCATAGAAAATTAGCTCGTCTTTACCATTTATTTTTTAATTTGTCTGTAGATTTATAGAGCAGTATTTCTTCTTTTTAAAGTGAGGAACTGGCTAATTATATTCTTTGATCATCAAATTCTTTTGTTGTGCAGAGTTCAGATGGATGTGATAGAGTCCTTGTGCCTTCATAATCCATTAACCCTAAGATCTTCTTTCAATCGTCCTAATATACATTATGAAGGTTCACCCTGCGTCTATGACTTGATTCAGATCCTGTTTTGTATTGTCTCTTGGCTAATATTTATTACCTCGCATCACATGCATATAGACAAATCTGACCAGATTTCTCTATAATGCAGTTCGATACAAAGATCTTTTAGATGATGTCTATGCTGATCTGTCTGGTGTGCTAAAATCTAGCGGAGATGTTTGTGCAATTGTTTACTGCCTTGAACGTACAATGTGTGACGAGTTGTCTGCTCATCTATCACGGAGTGGAATTTCATGTGCTGGTAAATCAAATGTTTTGGCATTGTAAATTAATTGCTCATATACCCTTGTGTTTTTATTCACTTATAATATATATAATTCTTAGTCTTTTGCTTCTTTCAGCTTATCATGCAGGGTTGAATGATAAGTTACGAAGTTCTGTCCTAGATAATTGGATTTCCTCTAAGATACAAGTTGTTGTGGCAACAGTGGCTTTTGGGTATGATTGTATATATAAATTAAACCTTTGTTTTTTGTTTTTCTTTCTTTTGGGTGTGTGGGTGAGGGGAATTCATCTTTTTGCTCCCAGCTCATGATTGTTATTGTGATGTCCTTGCCTCTTTGTCTTTTATGTATGCGTTTGGAGCTTATTCTGGTGCATGGACAGTAATTGTGCTTTTGGTGACCCTTCAGGATGGTATGAAACTGAATTACCATTTATTTAAAAACTCTTACAATAATTTTTTGTTTTGTTTTTCTTCTCTTTGTGTTGGAGATAATGTTTACCAGATCTGATGTGCCTTTGATGGCTTGTGGTTAATTTTAAGGGCATAGATAGAAGAGATGTCAGAATTGTTTGTCATTTTAATATTCCCAAGTCAATGGAATCCTTCTACCAAGAGTCGGGTAGAGCTGGTCGTGATCAACAACTCTCCAGAAGCCTTTTGTACTATGGAATTGATGATTGCAAAAAAATGGTTGGTTAGATAAGACTGTCTACTAGCAACTCCAATGCTGGTCTATACTTGGTTTCATTGTTCACTTCATTTTTTTTTTTGTTAAATTATTTTTGTAGAAATTTATTCTAAGCAATGCTGATAACAAGAAGTCAAAGGTCTCCAACTCACGGGAAGAGTTGTCAAAGAAAACTCTGACCGACTTCCAGCAGGTAAAGCCAATAAATTGTTTTTTGTCCGTGAATGAACTCTTTATGAATATTGTTTTTTGGAATCTGATTTCAAAAACATGCAGATGGTCGAGTATTGTGAGGGTTCTGGATGTCGTAGAAAAAAGATTCTTGAGACCTTTGGTGAACAGGTAGTATAACCTAGTGAAACTTTTGCTTCATTGTACTTTAGAGTGTAAGATCAGTGCTCCAAAAGAGCTACGTACTGACATCATTCGAAACAGGTACCTGCATCACTATGTAAGAAAACATGTGATGCCTGTAAACATCCAAACCTAGTGGCCAAGTATTTAGAGGAGCTCACAAGTACTTGTGTCGCTCGGCAAAAATTTGGTTCTTCTCGAATTTTTATGAGCAGGTGCTCTCTTTTTACCTAGTCCTGATATTTGAATTTTTTTATTAGCAGGTCTAAGGTTCATTGAATAGTAACTCCGGTGCTTGCTTATTCATTAATGTCTGTCAATTTCAGCTCCTCAGATGTGATAAATGAAGATCAAACCTCTGAATTCTGGAATCGTGATGATGAAGATTGTTCTGAGGAGGACATATCTGATTCCGATGGCATATTTTTTACAACATAGTTCTCTTTTTACTTCTTTTGGGAGAGAAAGGGGGGATTTAAAGGACACTGCAAGTTTATGTATCTCATTCATTGTCTTCGTTAAATCGCAGATGGTCTTGCTGCCAAGAACCTTGCCAGGTCAAAGTTGCCAGCAAAGTTGGGATTCAATGAAAAGATTGAGTGCTTGCAGCGTTTAGAAGAAAGATTTTACAAGGATAAATCTTCTGATAAGCAGGTTCGATCTGATTAAGTTTTGCAGTTTTTTTTGTTATTATTTAATTTTATCTTTTCCCCTGAATACCTATTATTGCCTAATTTGATGACAGATGAATAAACCGGACAAGAATGCTATATCTGATACGCTGAGGGAAGCAAGCAAGCAAAGATTACAAACTTCTCTCAAACAGGGTCAGCAGCGGCTTGGGAACTTAGCGTAAGCTTTTACTGGTGTCTGATGTATTATATCGTTATATGCAACAAACCAGTTAAAACACTTGAGATTTTAAATTCTCTCACAACCATGGAATATCCTTCTATCTGTAGGTTCTAAAAGTTGACAATCTTCTGTGCAGGATTGAAGTGGAAAAATCGGCCTCTTTCCTCGAAAATGAGTGTTACAACAAGTATAAGAAAACTGGGAAATCATTTTATTATTCTCAAGTGGCAAGTACGGTGAGGTGGTTATCAACTGCAGATTCTACTGCCTTAACTAATCGCCTTGGAACCATTAACTGTTCCCCATCAGATAATGCTCGGCCCAAAACAGAACCTTCTGCAACACCATCACCTTCGGTGGATGGAACAACAGAAGCTGCCAGCGGTGACTCCCACAATAGTGTTAGATCGGAAAATTCTGTAGCTGTGTCACCAACGGAAAGTGCTTCCCCGAGTATAACTCTTCCATCAATTCCATCCTTCTCAGAGTTCATCAACACCAGAAAGGCAAAAGACATCAGCACAAGGGCGTCGGAAAAGCAGTCACCAAACGGAGTTCAAGAGAAAGGGTTGAAGAAAATGCGGTTGCATTAGGTTGAATGTCTTGGTTTTATGCATTTGTACCGATTTATGCTGTGCACAAAGAAAAAGTTGAGGAGACGATGTAAATCTACTTCCGTTTATTTCTAGATTGGATCGCGGGAATTACATATTCGATACTTTGTTCCACCTTGACGTAAATGCTATTTCATGCTGAAACAGCATTCAGAATCAGATTACCTAAAAACAAGCATGGCTTATGCGTTTCGGGGACGAAAAAGTCAAGAAAAACCAGTTCTTCATTCTTCCTACAAGCTTCTTATTCACTCTGATTCATATTATGCATCTTTCAGTGGTAGCTTGCCAATGAAGTTAGTATTCAGGCTTCCCAAGTAAAGATGATCCTCAAACTCCAAAGCATTTGTCACGAAGGATATCACGCTTCCATCAGGATCCATAAGTTTCTTGATAATCTTGCCGTCAGCTGCCACATTCACCGCCATCGCTTCTGTTCGCATTGCGCTCATTAGTTCAGTCAGTTTCCGCGACGCTGCTACTAAGTGCTTGGCTGCTTTGGAGGTGTGCACAAACTCAAACCCTTCCCTAGTCAACTGCGTCATTCACGCACAAATCATAAAAACGCGTATGACATACGAATATTGTTTGAACCGTTATATCAACAAAAGCCATGTAAGATACATGAACGCTATCTGAACAGTTAGGATTGTATTACCTGAAGTAGAGCAATCCAAAAAGACCCATCTGGAGCAAGATTGATGTTGTCAGGTCCACCAGGAAGATTCTCAACGAAGATCTCTGTCTTCCCTTTGTTCTTTCCCTCCAGCCAATACCTTAAACACCTAAATCTAAGCATGAACATGCTTTAATTAGTTGCCACGCACTTTTCATATCGATAATGTTATTTAGACACATAAGATTGCTGACACACTCTCAAATAGAGGTGCGCTATACAATTATGTATGAGACCCGCCTGTATTAGAGTCGAGTGTGTCTGCAATGTGATCAGCATTGTGTGTCAAAATAGAATTACTTTTTTCTTATCCAAAATATAGAGTGAGAAAGAAGTGTTACATCACAACTTACTTCCATGTTTCACAGACCACCAGATAATCTTGGTCTTTTGAAACTGCAACCCCATTAGCAAATCCCAAATGATCAAGTAGGATTGAAGTCTCTCCGGATGATGGATCATACTTGAGCAGCTGCCCATGGGGTTTTGCCTCTAGCACGTCAAGATACCAATCATGGAGCCCAAATTTGGTGCTTGCAACACTAAAATATAGACTACCATCTGGTCCCTCAATCACATCATCTGCAAATCTGATTGTGTTCAACATGTAAGTTATAACTTTAGGAAACATCGACATATGTTCATTCATTGGGCCTGTGTTTTTGGTTTTGAGAAATGTTAGGATCAGTCAATACATAACTAGAGACATGACCTGAAGCAACAAACAACAACCAGTGAATTCAATGTTTTTAGTACTAAACATAGCTAAATATGTTCGGTATTAAGTTTCATTGTGCGACAATTTTATGAACACGTGAGCTAATTTTGGCCATTAATGATTGTAGGATCCGCAAAGTAAAATAGCCAAAGGTCAGTCATCTATGTATTCGTACAAGAAATGTTAAGATCAATTGCGTATGCACATGTGATCAATTTCCGACCATTTATAATTGTGAATCCCATAAAATAACAATAGTCAGATCAGTCTGAAAACGTGTAACGATTAATCTTAGCACCACTAAAGTATTTTCCAACTTGTGCTAACATTTTGTACTATTTTGGGATAAGAATCACATGCATATGGCAGAGTTGTGGACCCATGAGCCCTTTGGACCATATTGTTAAACTCTATAAATTCTTGGTTGGACATGGTCTCAACTGAATCATGTTTTTTTCATTTCTCTTTAGTTGAAAGGAAAAAACAGTACCAAACTTTGATGGCAACAGTCATGGATTCATCTTACAAACCAACAAACCATGATGTTTGTATGACATTTCGCAATCGGTCCCAATATTAAGAAAAAGATTCCTTACTTTATAGTTTTATTATACGAGAGCAGTTTAGATGAAACGAATTAACTATCATTGTAACTTTTTAGTTTAATAATGAATTATTATGTTCGGAAAAACTTATACATAAAAACACATTACTAATCAAGATATCACGTGACAGTTCGTTCCAAATAAATTATTCTTTTAATGAAGTGTCTAATAACTAAGTACAAGTCCCCATTTCATGGAAACTTATCTCCAAATCCGAACCATCTGGATCCTGCGGATCTCCCTACTATCACTCACCTCCCCCTCCTTCTCACACCCCAATTCCAACTCCATAATTCTCCGACCTTCAACCCCTCTCATTTTCTTCTTCTTTCTTTCTTTCTCTACGGTTTTGCTTCGCCGATGGCCGCCAGAGTAGAAGATAACGATGTTGAGGAGAAAGAGTGAGAAAATTGAAAGAAAAAAATGATCTTAGTCACATGATTTTACATGAACGGTTAAAATTATTTGATTCACATGATCCGATTTGTTAGAATCCAGATAGGACCCATTTCGTGAGGAAACTGCCGCACCCCACAATATGTAATAACATGACCTTATTAGTAATGTTCTGGTGGTGTCACATCAGAATTGTATTGGGCATGGCTTGCACATGGATGTTGTTTTCCAAGTGAACACATTGCTTTCCAGTCATTTTCCACAGTCGGATGGAATCACTGACTACCTATTCATCTACTTTTTACTTTTTACCTCGAGAGTAGATCTGGGCCTCGGGAAAAATATTCAGCGATTGCTCAAGAAAAATGATTTTCACGCTTTTATTTTTTTCTTTTTTTATTATTTTCTTAACTCTCGATAATTTGTTTATATATGAAGAGATTATATTCACATTTCAAATTACTTCTCTTACATTTTTTAATTTTTTAATATTTTTTACACATTATTAATACTTGATAAAAAATATTAAAAAAATTAAAAATGTTTAAAAAAAGTAATTTGAAATGTGTGAATATAATATTTCAATATGTATTTCGTACAATTTTAACTTTTTTGCATGTAAAAAAATTTCACATGTTTTATAATGAATAACGGGTCAAATATATAAATTTTAGTTCTCCAATCGAAAAAGTAGATGACGCATTAAAATAGGTGATTTTTCAAGACATTCCCTCCAGACTAACATGCGATAGCGTTTGGTGGTTTAGGATAAGATTGTGTTACCTTATTTTGGACCCATTAACATGTGAAGTGAGAACAGTCACACCAGCTTCAGTAATCTTCAGCAAACCCTACACATACAAGGGGCAACAATCAAAATCAAGTATTGCAATGTAGATTCTTATCAGTAATCAGCGATTTACGATTAAACGGTTTACTCTGTATCTCATTCATTAGGTGAATCAGTGTGATAAGTTAGAAGTCTCGTGAGTGAGATAGTGTAAGCAGAGACTTAAGGTTTAAAGGGTTTGCTCTATCTCTCTATCTCACTTATTATGTGACTGAACGTGTTGAGTAAGCAGTGAGAGAGTCAAAATTTTAGTCTAAAAGGGCCCAAAGTCTCAATCTGAAACACTCTCCTAATCTTACAAAAATTACTATGTTGTGTAGTGAGCAACTTGTCATTGTCATCTAGAGTTTGCTATGGTATCATCATCCTCTTCTTTAAACATAAACCCCAAGCCTCTTTGACTTTCTTCATCTCTCCCTTCTCCTCAAAACCCACGAGCAAGCCACCAATCTCAAGTCTAACCTGATGAAACAAATTAAACTAAAAACATTGGATTTGGGCCCTGACTCTTACGGAGAAAATGACAGGATTAACCTGGAACCATTGTGGTCCCTTCATAGCTCTGCCTTTGTGAGTGAGAACGAAAAAGTTACGTGATGAGCAAGATCGAGACATATAAATAAATCTCTGGGTGCATATATTTTTCTCCATTTTTCGGTCAGAATGTTATGCTCTTACCTGATCAGTATCACATGCAACAAGATCACCATCTTTTGTGAATGTGATTCCAAGAGTTGTATCAGTATTCACCTTCTTCCAGTTTTCCCAACTCCCATTTTTGTGAAGCCTTTTGATCCAACCATCTCTGGTTGCTGTATAGAGTGTGCCTTCCTTATCCACATCAACATCTTCCGGTTCCAGAAGCACTCCATCCCCAAGTTTAATCACTTTCTACATAAACCCAAAAAAATAATAAAAATCAGAAACAAACACCATGGTTACAAGTATATACTTCAAACAAAAAGCTCGTGGCCCGTATGCTAACCATTTCATTTTCGGTCCTTCAGTTCTGTTACCAAACTGTTTCGAAAACTGAAAACAAAATGGTTATAAAACGGCCAGCTGTGAGCTCTCCGTTTGAGAACTGAAACCAAAATGATTACGAAACCTGTAATAAGTTGTTTTTGGGAAGGTGGGAAGGTGGAGGGAGGTGAAGTGAATCTGGCGATATTGGGGAGAAATAGATTTGGAGAGAGAAGGCAACCAAACATGCCAACAGAAAGCCAGAAAATGGAGTGAGCAAATGTTTGAGAGCCATGAGGCCTGTCTGGTATATCTCCAAGAATATTGCGATAAGGGTGATAAGGTGGGGATTATGTTCTGTGTGGCTTCATATTTTTTATGCGAAACAAAACTGCAGTTGTCAGGATAATCCTATCGAGAGACCGAGAAAGCCAGTCACTCTTTGCTTTTCTCACAAAAACTCGCATGCCAAACAAGACTTTAGGGTTGAACATATCAGATTTTTTGGTATATTCCGGAGTTTTTAACCATTAGGTTGCTGTCAAAGATACAATGAAAAGATTTATAGGCTAAAATCTCTAGAATGTAGAGATTGGCCAAAAAACACATGATTAGATTATGGTGAGATTAGAACCAACCCTAATCACTTTTCAATAATCATACTACTTATCTTAACTACCAAACAAGGCCTTACGTACTCATAGGCACACAACATATCACCCTTTCCAAGCCAAATTCTCATAAGATCCCAAAATTTCAATCATTGGAATATTCCGGGAAATGTAGCTATCTTTCATTCTCGCATTTTTCTACTTGTCTTCCAGATTCATTGGTTATCACGTTTCTTACCGCTTCGCTGGTTATAATGTGGATTCCACTATCGAAAAATTTGGTCTACCTTAGAATTATTCTATTTAATATGTTGAAAATTTGATCATTTAATTTCCGCATATGCTGCTTGTAACCCACCAAAATTTTGTTTTTTTTTAACAAAATTAACCCACCAAAACTCGAAAAATAAATAAATAAATAAATAAAACAGTCTACGTTTTTCAATTATTAAATTACAAACAAATTTGCAGGAAAAAAAAAAAAAAAAAAAAAAAACTCAACACACCAACTAATCTACGAAACCAAGTGGCATAAATCAAACCTTGTTTGCAATAAACTAAAATCATCAAAATAAAACCCTACGATCAACCGACACATTGTTTGATTTGCAAAATATAATATAGAAGCACGGTCTTTCTTGCATTTTTTTTTTTCTACAAAATATTGGCCAAAAAAAAAAAGTGGTAGTTACCAAAATTATGGCCATGAGTCTCATAAATTTCCAATGACCCATTTTCCACCTCATGTCACAGAATGATGGAAAAACCCAATTTAGGCCCTGGTTAAATAGTAAGAAAATCCATGACACAACCCCTAATTTATAGAAACAATTTAATTGTATACAATACATAGACGCCCATACGTCTCGAAATTGGAATACAGATAGTATATCACGTATTTTTATATAAATATTAAAAAAATTTATTTTTAAATTATTAATCTTTTAGTACACATATCTCACTATTTATATCACATAATGTACTATTTCATGTACCGCTGAAAAATCTCTCCGGTTCGCGTTGTTGGTTATTTTTCCCACACACACATCTATTTAACATAGACCTCCACTCTCTCTCCTCTGTTCCAAAAAAAAACAGAGATAAAACAGAGAGAGAGAGAGATCAATGTTCTGCTACATTCCATGGCTATAACAGGCACAGACTCCCAGCAGCAAAGCTCAACTAAACCATCCCCAGTTCCTCCACCAGTCGAAGTCCAGTGCGTAAAATGCCACTCCTGCGGGTTCACAGAGGATTGCACCCCAGCCTACATCTCCCGCATCCGAGACCGCTACCAGGGCCGTTGGATTTGCGGGCTCTGCGTCGAGGCGGTAAAAGACGAAGTGGTGCGATCAGATAGGCTCATCTCCACGGAAGAGGCCCTGAACCGCCACAGCAATTTCTGCAAAAAGTTCCGGTCGCGGAAAGAAACAGAGCACCCCATCTTCGCCATGGGTCGGATTTTCCGGCGGAGCTTGGATACTCCGAGAGCCCTGAGGTCAAATTCCGATAGTAACCTAGGGGAAGTTGAAGGGGTTCGCTGGCCGCCGCTTGTTCGATCGGGAAGTTGCTTCCCTTCTCTGTCTAGGTGAAAATGGTAAAAACAGAGGATTAAAAGGTAAATATGTGAAACAGAGGAACTCTGTTTTTTACTGGGATACGGTAATAAATTGGAACTAAGGTAATTTTGGGTCGGTTTTTCTTGCTCTAATTGGGATTATTAGTATCATTGTTTTTTTTTTTTCCTAGAATTTTATGTACATATTTCATGTGTTAAAAATACATTTTATGTTCTCTTTCATCTAATTTACATTGTTTCTGTATTTAACAACTGTCGTCCATGAAATTTGAACTCAGACCTCCTTCGACAAGATAGAGACCTCCTCCAGCAACGTAAAGACCAAATAGCCATTTGTTCGGCCATATTGATTATCTTTGGTAATTAACAACTGTCGTCCATAAAATTTAAACTCAGACCTCCTCGGACAAGATAGAGATCGATGATTTTTTTTATTATTGGGTTTGGGAGATTAATGGAAATAAATCTAGAAATAAATCTAGAGCCATTAAGTGATTAAATATTTTCATTGCTGGCTATTCCTCAATGCATGCACCTCACTAAACTTTCCATTTTTATGGTGTTTAATTATTAATTAGCGGTGGTTTAGTGACTAATTAGCTGCTTTTGATCTGTTTTAGGAGTGTATTCAATTGAGAATTTGAGAGACTTTAATAGATTTATAAATTCATATATTTTTATGAAATTTAATTGATTTGTAGAGATTCCATATAAAATTTTGATTCAATTCTCATGAGGAGAGTGAAGATTTGAAGATGCTTAAAATACACTACGAAATATCTCCAATTCCCTCTAATTCCTCAACTTTCTCAAATTCTTTAAGATCAATTTTTAATTGAATACATCTGGAATGTTATAAACTTCTTTAAAATCCTAATTGAATACATCAGGATTTCTAAGGATTTTAATAAATTATCTTAAAATTCTGATTGAATACTTCTAAATCCATTAAAAGAATTAAAATCTTTCAAAATCCCAATTGAATACACCGTCTTTAGTTAAGGGTAAAATTGGCTTATTTGGAGCAAGAAAAAGGTAAGAAAATAGAAGCACAAAACGAAATTGCTGAGAAATTTCCTATAGACAATGTTGTTTGATCCAACAAAAAAAAACAACCACCGAGTTCACTCGTTGCAAACCTTCCATGAAAATAAGACACTAAATTTGCGGCATCTCAAACATAGTTTTATGAATTGGTTCGAGACACGAACACCTTTGACGGTTTTGTCTGTCTCTTTTGTCGCACTTGTAGCAAAACATTTGTCCCTCCCAAGTATGAACACTTGAAATATAAATCGAGTACGACAAAATAGAGAGAGAGAGTGTGGGGAACAGGTGGAATGGCACCGACTCTAGCAACTTGAGCCAGCTTCGTTCGAGGTTTCTTTTTCTCTTCTTTTTTGGGTTAAAAGTTAAAAGAATGCAGTTGTTCCAGCACTCAGTCAGTCTCGTCTCAATACTTATGTTGCCTCGGTTTTTGCTGTATCCCAAGGTTTTATTAGTCAAAGTGTTAATACTGATAATGTTAGCGAGAAACACCTAAAGAATTGGATTACGGGAGAAAATCAGTCACTTGTCGTGCAATCGGATGCAATAAGGTAACATTCAGATATAGTAGCAGTGAAGTTTATGAGTTATTTTTCTTCAAAACGGTGATTTAAGTGTTTTTAGCTTTGAAATTGAGTTTTGACGAACTGTTCTCTCTAATAAGATATCTGTTTGCTTTGACATAGTTTTGCTTTGGGAAACGTTAAACGCATATCTCTTTAGCTTGGTCGTTGTTTTTATTTAATTTATTTAATTTGGTGGTTAAAAATAAAGAGCAGTGTATAAGATATTTAAAACGTGTTGTTAAAACTATTATTTTTTTAATCAAACCTCTCAATAATTGTCAGTTCAGTATTAATTTTCTAAGTTTTGTCGCGTTGTTCTTGGTCATGAATTTGTGAATTTTATAATAATTCTTCTCTCTTGTTTCACTAGTCGGTTGTTTGACTTAGAAACGACTTGAAATCAATCATAGAAGTTTTCTGTTATGCAGTTCTTACCTAACATACTAAAAAAAAAATTAAGGCCTCTGTTTTTTTGTGTTAAACTAATCATGTCCCTTTGTGTTCTTCACTCTAGCATGCCACTGCATTTGAGGTAGACAACGACGCTTCATATTCTATGAAACCGTCCGCTGTTTCTGTCATAGATACTGCGAAGAATACGGTGCCCCCACATTTAACAATAGAAGGGTTGGAGCATTCTTCTATCTGCCCCCTCCTCCGCATGCGGCGTTAAGACTCATGAGCTGTAGTTAATTTTTGAGTGTGACATTTAACACATCCGATCTCATGAGTCTAATGTCGTATACGAAGAAAAAAGATGAAAGAAGTATGATAGGGGTAGAGCTCTTCGGCTAGATCTGATTCGGAAATAGCCCGCACTTAGTGTGATCCTGTATAATAACGAACGGAACACTAGCTATATGCTTAACACATCTATCTTGGCTTGGTTTTAAATTATTCGTGCAGGCCGGCCAAATGTTAGAACTTTGCAATGTGTGTATTGCTATCGAAACTTCCCTTGTAACAACCACGGGATGGTCCAATGGTTGGGAAAGAAGTTCAGGTTCGTATTCCACACGACACGTTCTGAGTTTGATTCCTGACGCTCGTGAATCAAACGATGGTAGTCAGGCAAGGTTGAAAGACTCCAGTGAGTCTTTCTGACCCCCTCAAAAGGTGGATTGTCGTGGTTAAGCCACCAGCTGGTCCTCTTTTTAAAGAAAAAAAATTTTAAAAACATAAAATTTTACATTTGTTAGAAAGTAGCATTTGGACAGGAAAATCCATTTAGACAACTCACCACAATGTCAACTTCTTAGATGGTTGACAAGGAGAAAATTTGAATTGTGTGGAGAGAGAGAGATACACACTTGTATGTATCGAGTGGTAGAAATTAAACATCTTGTATCCAGTGATAGAATGATTGTTTAATGAAGAAAATAACAGACACATAATTGCATACAACAGATCAGGAAAAAGATATTCATGGCCGGTTGTATACAAGTGGATAAGGATCGCAAGAGATATTGGCCACACTCGTTCGGCCTGTCAACCTTGACAAGTCTAAAGAGGCTTTCTGCTACCACAATCATCTGTTGGGCCCGTTTGATGTATACTGGATCGGTTCACAGATGGACTTTAAACAAAAGCAGAAGTCCCACAAAGCACAAGCACAACCATTTGAATATAGACTGCTTTTATTTCCGAAAAAGAAAGATGAAAGAAAGTTCCATTTATTTGTCAAGATTAGAAATCTGGCATCAGCCAGAGACCAAAGCATCATAAACATCTGTTTAAGGTTTCTTTTTCACACATTCAAGCTGGCACGGTACTCGTAACCATGACAGCAGCAGATTCGGCAGAATGTACCTTTTCCTTGACATGTCATGACCAAGAGTTTAGACCGAGCTTTGCTGTGACGCCTGGTTCACTAGCCGAAATTTATACCCTGAGCAAGTGGTAGTTCAGTCCCGTAGTTGATTGTACTGTCAAGGATAAGAATTGCTCATGTCAATGATGAAACAATCATAAAACAGTCCCGCAATCAACTTAGATATGTGATCAATTTAGATATGAAAGATTACCATGTTGAACGCCTCATATATTGCTTCCAGGAGTCGCTCCCTGCTTCACGACCACCGCCAGTTGCCTTTTCTCCGCCAAAGGCACCGCCAATCTCAGCTCCATTTGTAGGTATATTTACATTCACTATACCACAATCACTACCATGTGGCCTGCATCGTATTCGAATGCAAACAGTTATAACACTGTAATTTGAAATATCCCTTTATCAGAAAATTGGTCACTTTCTAATCTCATCACCCATTTTAGACACTTACCCAATCCATTTGAAAATAGTACCGGGCTTGCTTGTGAAAATTGAACTACTCAGTCCTTGTGGTACTGAATTGTTCAGTTCAATTGCTTCTTCAAGAGTCTGCATATTTTCGAACAAAAGCCGCAACATTTATCGGAGAAGAAGTGCATAGAAAATAATAATGCAAGATAAACTTTTCATAAGTTGGACTACCTTAAACTTCATAACATAGAGAACGGGGCCAAACAATTCTTCTTTCACCACGGAAGCATTTGAAGCAATCTCAACAATTGTTGGTTGAACAAAATTGCCATCTGACTCTATAACCGATCCGCCTGTAAGGATCTTTCCACCCTGAAAAAATAAATTACGTTGTGTAAGACACAAGATCCATTTTTCCTCTGGTGTGTGTGTGTGTGGGAGAGGGGGCGTTCATGCTTCTCCAAGAGACAAAGAACATGCCTGAGATTTTATGGTTGAAATCCCCTTCTCAAAATTCTCCCTCGATGCCTTAGTATGTACTGGACCGACTAGAGTTCCCTTCTCTAAAGGATCCCCAATTTTGACTTGCTTGTAAAGTCCAACTAGTTGATCTAATAAATTTTGGTATATGCTTTCATGAAGATACTGCACTCCAGTGAAGCCATACATGCACACAAATTTGTATATATTACTTTCAAGAAAAAGAAAAGGCAAACAAAAGCAACGGTGAAAGAAACCTTAACTCCTATAACCACATCAGATCCCAAAAATGGAATTTTTAAGATAAATAGTTACCAATCTACGACAAGTTGTGCAGCGCTGACCAGCAGTACCAACAGCTGCAAAAAAGATAGAACGCACTGCCAGCCCAACATCGGCATCATCCATAACAATTAAGGCATTGTTTCCACTTAATTCAAGTAAGCATCTACCGAATCTCTCAGTGACAATTTGTTGCACCTTCGAACCTACCTATATTTATTTGGTAATGTGGAATAGAAGCTTAGCGTCACGGTGATGGGAGCAAGAATGTTAAAAGGAACATGTCTGTAACCAGTGTACCTTTGAACTTCCAGTGAATGAAACCAGGGGTATCCGTGTGTCTTTTGCTATTGCTTCACCAATTTCTGCTCCTCCACAAAAAGCGGTGAATATAGCACCAGGTAGGTTATTTCTCTTAAGAACCTCAGCGATTAGCTTTGTCACAGCAATAGTCACCAGAGGAGTTGTTGGTGCGCCCTTCCTGCAAAACATAATCAAAAGAAACCATTACATTATACAATCACATCTTCATAATGAAATAATGCAATAAAACTCAATTATTTGAGAAGATAATATCATATCATATCAAGTTACTTATGGTACCTTGCAGTGTAACAATGAAACAGCCGAGATATTTTGACTACACTTAGATGCCTATATTATGCACTAACATGATTGATTTGCTCAAAACTCCAATTCTGAAATTAAGACATTTAAACTTACCAGACAACGCAGTTACCGCAGACTAACGCAATGCAGGCATTCCATCCTAAGACACCATTGGAAGAAAAATGTACGGTTGGAAATCTCGCGGTATAAAATTTATAATGTATTCAGTAATTTATGGTGACAAATAAACAAGCAAAGATCAATGATGAAACTAAATCCTCAAGTTCGTTGATGCTCTTAATGGACTATAGATCCAGCATCATGCACTAACTTATGTTGCTGACTTTTAAGGCAAAACGGGAACATACCAAGAACAGCGCATGGGAAATTGAAAGCAGTGATGACACCAACTATTCCCAATGGATTCCAGACCTGTGGTGTATAAAAATGTAAATCATTGTTAATTACAACATATCAAGCTAATTGTGTAAAATGAAATAGTAAAAGTCCCATCTGTATACAAATCGATCAAGGTTCAACGTAAGAACTAGCAATGCACCTCAAACATCATATGATCCGGACCTGCAAACAAAAAGCAGACAGAGGGATTATATTGATTATACAAAAGTTAAAAAACCACTGGCTTGGCAACAGAATTTTATTTTCACTCATCCTGGAGCTTTAAAATTTTCCGAAAGCAATTCACATATTAACAATTAGAGAAAGGATGATAGAACATAAATTAGCATGAAATATAAATTTTGAGCTCACGTTCAGAAGGTATGATAGATCCATTCAATTGTCGGCTCAGTCCAACAGCGTAATCACACATATCAATCACTTCCTGCAAAAATTAGTGCTCCAGGATTACTTACAAAATTTGACAAAGATTTTGACAGACAACAACAACAACAGTAACTGAAAATTCCATCTTAAACACTCACGGACAATTCCATAGCTCATTCACTACTCAACAGATGCAAAACATTTTAATCAAAGATATCATCCTCTTCCGTACCTGCACTTCTCCAATTCCTTCAGCAAGTATTTTTCCCATCTCGAGGGACACAAGCTTCCCAAGATGCTGCAATTTCTCTCTCAGCGCGTCGCCTATCTGCCTAACAATCTCACCTCTCTTTGGCGCCGGAAGCTGCACCAAAAATACATTAACTTTGTCAAAACAAAGACAAATTCAAATACCATTTATCAAGTGAAATGCAAAATAACAAGAACTAACAGTCTTCCATGTCTTGACTGCCTCATTGCAGCTGCGCAGGCCCTCCTCATAATCTTCCATCGACACTTCCGTGACTTTTGCAATTTCCTAATATCCAAATGCAAAAACAACATCATCAGAAACATCGAAATTCTGGGTTTTGTGATCGAACTCAAATCTTCATGTTCTTATGATCAAAATTACATCTTTACGCAAAAATAAACAAATAAAAAACAACCATCGATGAAAAAATGGAGATAATTAACAAAAGAAACTAAAAGGTTTACTATTTCACAAACCTGATTGTTGGAAGGGGTGACAGTGGAGATAACCGGACCGCTTGCCTTCCAGTTGCCATTGATGAATCCTCCAGGATTCTCGGGAGCCAGACCGATCGCGCTCAGAAACTCGTGCTCCTTCTTGGCAAAACCCATCTCTGCAAATTCATCATGTCAGTGTCATATGATTCATTTCATCAAAAACAGAAACAAAACAAAAAACCAAAATCTGAAACAAAACAAAAAAAAAAAAAAATCAAAGAACAAAATTTTTGCCGATGATGATCAATTACCGATGATTTGATTTGGATTATGAGAAATGGGGTCGTGGGAAATGGATATGTTTGGATTTTCAGGTAATAATTTAGGCTATTTAGTTGAAATGGAGGATGAATAATTGAATCAGAAAGGAGTGGGATGAAGAGTGCAGTAGCTGATTTGCTGGGTTGGTTTTTTAACTTTTTATGGAAATGGGAGTGCTGGAACGTTACGACACGCCACACATAAAAAAAAAATCCCATCGTTATCTTGGAACTGGATCCTCTGCTTGGCTCTGGATGGGGATCCTCTAGCAGTATATTCAGACCGTTAAAATTTGATCTAACGCTTTCAAATAGGTTATTCATCTAAAGTTATAATAATTGCAGCCACTGAATTAAGTTTGAACGGTCCGAATGAGTTGCTCACGAGGATTCTTATCCTAACTCAATAGAGGATCCAGTTCCGTTATCTTTACAAAGTATGCACACGTGTGAAGCACCAAAGTACATGGATTGTCCTGATTATTTAATATAAATATAAATATATCATTGTATCACCAACCATATGAATAATATTAGAGAAATTAAATTTGATAAATTAATATTAGTAGTATATGCACGTTAGGCTAAATACGTGCATCGTAGTTTGAGTGAACGTGAAACTTATATATGATCCAAATAATTTAAGTTTGGTACCTATAATACTATTGCTACACTAGTATGAGTTGCATTTAACAAGTTAAATTAAATATACAATAGTTTGAGTAAGCGTGATACTTATATATGATAAATAGAACTTGAGTTTGATATCTACAACACTGCTACTACACTAGTGTGAGTTTAATATATAGTAAATTATAACAATGATCTCTCAACTTTAATCAAATTGGAGCAATGGTCCCTCAACTAAAAATATATTATCATTAATCCATGAACTCATTAAAATGTGTAGCTATAGTCATTTTTGTTAACTTCGTTAGAATTTTGTCAAAATGAGTTATAATGGAATGACCATTGCTACAATTGGAGTCCCTCAACTCATCAAAACGTGTAGCTATGGTCATTTTCATCAATTTCGTTAGAATATTGTCAAAATGAGTTATGTTGGAAAGACCATTACTACAATTAAGTTAAAGTTGGGGACCATTGCTCTAATTGGGTTAAAGTTGAGGGACCAATGATAATGAATTTTTAGTTGAGGGATCGTAGTTCTACGTTTTGATGAGTTGAGGGACCAATGGTAATGGATCTTTAGTTGAGAGACCATTGCTTCAATTGAGTTAAAGTTGCAAGTGAGCCGAGGGAACCACAATTCACCACTTGCAAATTGAAGAGCAGATAGATGCAGGCCCAGCGTGTCTACAACATCAGCAGGAACGGTTGTATGCTGGCTAGCGCATGGAAGACATAATTTCTACGGCCTACAGGGTCGTTCAGATCCAATGGTTGGCGTGCCTCTTGAGTTTTGATCCAAAGTGGCGTGCCCAACTTCATTCATTTCTGAGATTTTAAACCTTTGAGTTGGAGATAGCCTAATTGCCCCTTAAAAGTTGTTTTGGATTGTGTTTTATGGTCCATTTCTAATTGGATTGTGTTTTGTAGTCCATTTCTAACCTACAATATAGGAGCATAAGCAACATTCTTATCAAGAGCATGTGTGACCTGAATTCGATCACAAAGTACAAGTACAAAATGCCATATAGGGAAAATGGCCTACCAATCCACTGGCTTATATGCCAAACTAGACCTGCAAAATGAGTCAAGTTTATTGGGTTTGGGTCGGGTTTCATCCGACCCGTTAAGTTAACGGGTCATCCAAACCTAACCCGTTAAGCTCATTGGTCACCCGCTTCATCCGTTTCACCCGTTAAGACCCATTAACAATTGCTTTTTGTTTTGTGTTTAATTTTGCATTCCAATACAAGTTACACATTTGAATCAAAATTTCAAGCATGGAGGTACAACACATTTGGAAGCCCCAAATGCAAAGTTCATTATCCACGTGAGCCAATAGTATAAAACCTTCCAATTACGAATAAATACGAATGTTACCGATCCTCTACTCAACCTAATGGTTGAGTGCACTTGCATGAAATTTTTGGTTGGTGCTGGTGTTGCTATGCTATTGTTGAAGCGTATATTATATTGTTATTTTGCTTGAATAATAAAAAATAATAAGTTAGAAGACAACAAACATGATTAAACACGATCCCGTGAGAAGCTAAAAATGGTGTATACATTGCTTGAATAACCATCTATGTTTATCATTTTCTAAAAGAAAAGACAGATACGTGGCAGTTTTGAGAACACCATGAAGAATCAGGGTCCAACTGGTAAAAAAGAAACTGTTGTGGACCAAAACCTGAAAACGCGACTGGACTGGTCCGATACTCTCCCAGTTCCAAACTCACAGGAGCCGTGTAGATCGCATCGCAGTGCAACGCGCAGCAAGCAAAAGTTTATAGGTAAACTTCCACTGCCTTTGAGGATTAATTAATCATTAATTAGCTTATAATCTCAATTAGTATGCTGCTCTCAAGTTCTTTCTCTTCCATAAGCTTCCCTTCACCAAATTTTAATCTTCCCCACAATCGCAGCCCGAAACGAATCTTGAAAATGGCAGAAGCTGCGAAAAACCCAGGTCAGAAATTTCATCGCCTCAAGTTGTATATGTTTGTCTGTGAATTTCCATGTTCTTATTGCCATCTTGTTTCAGTGGGTCAGCAACAGAAAATCATCGTACCCAACAAACACGGTGAAAAGCTTGTGGGATTGTTACACGAAACCGGTTCCGCGGACCTTGTAATCTTATGTCATGGTTTTCGAGACACCAAGGTTGAATTTTTGATACATCAAGTGTTGTTATTATTGTTGTTGTTGTTGGATTCGCTTCCAGCTTGATTAGGATGTTCTTAATTTAAGTTTTTTTTCCTAATATTTCGTTCACAATCCATCGTCGAACTTTGATTGTTAGATGATTTAGTTTGTAATTTGAAGACGACGATGTTTAAGAATTGATGAATAAAGAATAATGCACCCTGGGCGAGTTCGATCCTCACCGATTCCTTACCCCTTAACAACTATCTAACCCACTAACGCTATCGCTCTACTGAAAGAAAAGGAATACCACATCATTGGTGGAAAATTGTAATGCTTGGTTGGCAACTTGGCATCATTGTGGGCAAAGTTCACAGCTTGTGTCCCTTGATTTCCAGGAAAACTATATTATGGTGAACCTTGCTGTTGCACTGGAAAATGAAAGGATCAGTTCCTTCCGTTTTGACTTTGCCGGAAATGGGTAAGGCTGTCGAATTACAGGGTTTGAAATTCTTGAACATAACAGGATTTGTGTAGAGTTTTGTTGTGTGGACCTCGTTCGTTTCATAGCTGTAAGCATGGCTCTGTCTTAGCCATACTGTTCCTACTTGCAAAGTTTGCGTTGTTGTCAGTTTGAGATCTAACGATTACATGGATGCTCATTAGTTGTGGGTTCTTGGTTGTCAGGGAAAGTGAAGGCACCTTTCAGTTTGGTAACTATCGGAGAGAGGCGGATGACTTGCACTCTGTGGTCAAGTACTTCTCTGGGGCAAAACGTGCACCCAGTGCAATTGTTGGACACAGTAAAGGTACATTGGATTGTTTTGCACGATCGTTATGTAAGATTTTATTCGGATCAAATAAAGAACAAAATACTATTGATGAATGTTTTGAATGAGTAATTTCCTGCTGTGTACCAAAGGTATTGCTGAAAATTGTTTCTGCAGGAGGCAATGCTGTGCTCCTGTATGCTTCTACCTATCATGACATTCGTACGGTTGTCAATGTTTCTGGACGTTATGATCTGAAGAAAGGCATCGAAGAACGCTTGGGGAAAGACTTTGTGGAAGTAATCAAGAAGGAAGGGTTCATTGATGTTAAGAATAAGTCAGGTAATTTTCTAATTCCTATCGTGTGGTGAATTGCAAAATTCGTTTCTGAGGGCAGATGTATGCAGATGAATTGCGTAATTTTCAGTAACACATGCACACACTTAAAACACACAAAAACGAGCAACGCGTATGCTGGCATTTAACAAGGTTAATGGATGCTATGCTTGTAGGAGATGGTAATTATCGTGTGACCGAGGAGAGTTTGATGGATCGCCTAAGTACTGATATGCACGAATCATGCCTTCAGATTGACAAAGAATGCCGGCAAGCAAACTTTAGTTAACTCGGTTCTCATGGTTTCATGTTTCCTTTCTTTTTGTTGGATTTCCCGCATGAACAAGTTTATCAGCGATTCTCTACATACAGGGTGGTGACAATCCATGGAACTGCTGACGAGGTCATCCCTGTTGAAGATGCATTAGAGTTCGCCAAGATAATACCTAACCACAAATTACATCTTATAGAAGGCGCTAATCATTCGTACACCTCGCATCAAGCCGAGTTAGGATCGCTCGTCGTGGACTTCATTAAGGCAGCTCTGCAGCAGGACAAGGCTACTTCAAACTAGATACTCTGCCTATAAATTTCTTAAAGTGTTGCACCCGTTGACGACTCAGCCGGATGGAGTCCTTATCTTGAATTTACTCCATATCTTGAATTTTGATGTAGCTTGGGACATACATGCTTTGCCACAAGTTTGTGCTTACTAATCGAAATCTCATCTTCTCGATGGTCAATTGTACGCGAATTCAACGGATTGTTTTCGCTACGTGATGCAAGCCATTGCATCACGAAACACAACGAACAATACTAGCAAGTCGTAATGCATAATCATATGAGCTAGAATTCAGGTCCACACGAGCGCACATAAAAGTATCACATAAGGTGCTGAGGAATCCACAAAATGAGTTCAAAACATCATCTCAGTTCCCTACAATCCGGATTGCAGCAACTGCTCGCTTTAGAGCTCCAATTCCGACATAATTATGAATGAAAGATTATCAAGTTGAGCTGACATAAGAGTAATTATATAACGTAACGGTAGGTGACGTATCGCCCTGCAGTCTCACTTGGTCGAATTATCTTCACAACTTGTGCGCGCTTAAGCCCGTAGTATTTCGCAATTGGATCAGTCACCTGAATCCGAGGGAGCTGGACAATAAGAAACACAAATACAAGAGAAACAGTTAGTATGCAAATTTCCCTAATTTACCACAGATATGCAGGCTAAGATACGTTTGGAAAACAAACGTAAAATAGCCATTAGGAGGAGAGAGAAGGCTTTGTTACTTTGTCGTAATAGTTTAGATGGTATTAAGACGCATTAAGCATGACTCTGTACTTGAGTTAATATTCCAACACAAACAGTTGAATAAATGAGGTGGTAGATTTGTAACACTTCTTAGTGTTATAAATCAAGATTTAAAGTCATGGCATGCCTTATGTAGCATCGGAATTTCGTAAATGCAAGATTAACAACAATGTGCAACACTGACCTGTGTTTCTTTCACAGTGTACCTCTCCAGCAAAGTCTTCTTTTCCTCATTTGTAAGCACCCGATGCTCAGGAACTAGAACGTGTTCTTTAATATTCACCAACAATTCTGCCTCCTGAATCAATAGAGACAGAGCAAACGTTAATATCCTCTTAAGTTTGTATTGAAAGCACCTGATACAATTATAGGTGGAGCCAATTTTTTGTAAGTGGGGTAAAAATAATTCTCTTGCAAAGCTGAAGTTAAAGCTGCATACCCAGAAAAAGTAAATCAAACAATGAAAGTAATTATTCAAGAAGACCCTAACTAGGCCTCTTGGTTAATGGACATTATTAAGATGACCTATGCATCCAACCCGTCCCTCTAAAAGGTAGGGCCATACCTACTCATCAGCTAACAAAACTTTTACGAGCATTTGATCAGATAAAGGCCCTTAGAAGTTAGAACATAAACAACCTAATCAGGTAATTGCAACGGTGATTTGTATGTGTATAGCATTCAAATTTCTGATACTAAGAACTCTGATATTTCTGGTTTAATTGATTAACGTGATATTCGTGAGGTATCAAGAACACAACTTCGTACTAACAACAGATTAAGCAATGAACCTCACCAGAAAAACCTCCAAGTGGAACTTTCCCGATATCTCACTGATACAGGTCTTTGCAAAGGGCGTCAGACTTTGTTGAGTAACCAAGATTGCTCTGAACACATTCTCCGATTTCATGCGGTTGGTATAAGTCTTCATTGTCTTGACCCCAACCTTTGGTTCGTCAGGAAAGAAGACATAAATCTGAAACACATAAACCAACAATCAGACACCGTCAACAGTTAAAGTACTACATCCACTGCAATAAAAAGCATCGGGGAAACACCTGATCGTTGCTGTCACTTCGCTTAGTTTTATTGATGATAAGATCTTCCCTTTTCATGTTCTCTCCGTATTTGTCCTTGAACTGTTCTTTTGACATGTTGATCTCAAAATCTCCAACCAAGTAATTCCGATCTTTCAGCATTTGCATCACAGTCTTTCGGACTCTGTAAAGCCTTGTGATTTCTTCTTCTGTTAAAACCATCTTCGTCTCTGATATGTTACAAAACACAGCTTGTCAGTTATGTTCCACTTACTCCAGAAATACGAAATTTCGGTTTCACAAATATTACAACAAAAATCCCCATTTACAGCCTAAAAATCAACCTTTTATATTAAAAATTTGTCATATAGGCAGCCTGCCAATCTGCCAATCTGTTGGACGTATAAGTATATAACCAAGCCAATCTGTACACAAATCTGCCAATCTGCCAAGTATATAGCCAGGCTGAAAATTTGCCATATAACCAATCTGTGCACAATAGCATCTGCCTATTCAATCTCTACTACACATGCATGCAATAAAAATAAATTAAGTAACAAATCCAAAAGAAAAAAATTAGTTACAAGCCAAGGTTTTAAAATAAATAAAGTAACAAACCCAAAAGCAAAAAAATTAGTTATGAGCACAATAGCACAGTAGAAATTATGATTATGTTTCACCAGGCTCTGGTTGTAGTGATAAACATCTGTAGAAACATGACTCCCACACGTTTTACATTATTACATATATAGTTGTTGGTAAACCTTTTCATATGCCATGATGATCCAAGTGACTTCATTCAAACCAACTGCTCAATACACCATTTTTTTCTTAAGATATCTTATTTCAGATTTGTCCTTCCATACCACCAAATATATATACTATTTCGAAGAAAATCAAGTGAAAAGTAGTACGGTTTGTAAACGTATGGATGATAAGCAAGCTATATATATGCATTCTCGGGTCCCAAATTGCACTAAAATCACATGGGGACAGTACAGAGGAGCTTTTGATGAACAATTGTTAGTGGAATCCGTAGTGGTTTTATCTCAACAGTGCCTGCTGATGTAACATGCATTTTTTGTTTTTGTTCTCATATATAGGCCATCACACATGAGAAATTATATGTAAAAGATAACATCTGACATATAGGGTGCAGAATGGGAAATGACTACAACCAGGCTCCGTGCTAGTGAAATGAGTAAGGGTGGACATGAATTGAGCTTAGGAAGCACAGAAGCTGACAATGAAGACTTTGACAGAAGTAAAAAGTATGCAATGGGTACAGAAGGCACTGATACTGGGAAGAGATACTCTGTAAAGAAGCAAAAGGTTGAAGATAAAAGCAATCATTTTGAAGACATTGAAGAAGTCGGTAGCGGAACAGAGGAAGGACAGCAAGGGAAAACTTGAAACTAAAGTTGCGAAATCCTTTTACAAGGAACAAAGAAACAAAGGTAAAAAAGCTCTGATTGCAGAAGGTATTTTAGAAAACATTTAAGTCCAGCTCCCTCCCCCCCCTTTAACCTCTCATTCCCTCTATAACCTCTCCGTCGATTCAAAATCCCTAATTCCAAAAGCCCTAATTCAGAAACCCTACTTTCAAAATTCCTAATTCAGAAACCCAAATTCAAAATCCCTAATCGAATTGAACTTTGGTTGAGTTTATGGCAGGAATTTCTTACCTTTTGCAGTGAGGAGGAATGCGGACTGAGACCGAGCTCGATTCAGGAGCCGGATTCGGGTGGTATAGACAGTGGGTGAAGGTGCGATTCAGGTGAGGAGTGAGGATTGAAAGGAATGAGGACTGGTGTGGGTAGATTCGGGAGAGACAAATCGGCGAGGAGAGTGGTGGTGAGGTTCCGTTCAGAAGATACTGAGGTGAGGTTTGAGTTTGAGTCTGAGGGGAGAGGTGAGTGTCCAGAGAGTCAGAGACCAAGAGGGAGAGTCAGACTGGGTTTGATAACTTTGATTTACACTCAACGGTTGAGATTAAATCTCAACAGAATCCCAACGGCTATTACAATTCTAAATATATATTTAAAAATTAAATTATATATATATATATATATTTTTTTTTTTCGGTTCGATTTAGGATTACTGGAATTTCAAAAATTTGAGATCAATTTCTGTACTGAAAGTTTGGAATCGGTTCGGTATTGGGTACCGATATTTTCGAAAAGTTCTATTTGGGATTTTTTCGATTCGGTTTGGAATTTTTGGAATTTTTTCCAGCCCTATTTATAGATGTAGCCCCCAAACAATTAAATCACAAAACTGGCCATTCAAATTGAATCACAATCAAGCAACAAGAGATCAATCTTAAACAAAATTATAACAGTTTCACTAACTTTCTCGGTTTCTCCCTAAGTTTGAAATCTCTAAAGTGTATAGCGAGGCGTTCCAAACACTGCTTGTGAGGCATAATAAACCCAAATACATATATACATATATATATATATATATATATATATATATATTAAACAACAACTTCAGCATTCATCTTCATTAATCAACAAAAACACGTATAAATTTATGTTTAACAACACCGTAAAAACTTTAAAACAAAAACAACCCAAATTCCAACAGTAAAAACTTGTTGGACTTGTTTATCCCACTTAATCACTGCCCTGAACAGCAAAATTGCAAAAATAAAAAATAAAAAAATAAAAAAATAAAAAAAATCGAAACCTTTCACAGCTGCAAAAACACCATGTCCAATCCTAACTCCTAACAACACAACAAAAACATAATCTTTCAAGGAAAACAAAAGGAGAAATAGCAGACGAAATCGAAAAAGATTAAACCTTTGGTATGACAGTATCTAATGATTCTAACCCGTTAGACAGAAAAAATGAAAAAATTAGCGTTTGTTGTCGGAAGTTGAAGAGGATGCTTGTACAGGATATCACCAGCTGAATTGACGAGTTCTTTGGAGATTGTTAGTGACTTGATTCTAGGGTTTTTTGTAACATCTCACATCGTTCAGGAAAGTGAATAATGTAAGCCTTATATGTATATTCTTATCTCTACCTAGCACGAGACTTTTTGGGAGCTCACTGACTTTGGGTTCAGTAGGAACTCCAAAGTCAAGCGAGTTTGCGCGAGAGCAATCCTATGATGGATGACCCACTGGGAAGTTCTCTTGTGAGTTCCTAGAAACAAAACGGTGAAGACGTGGTCGGGACCCAAAGCGGACAACATCGTGCTACGATGGAGTCGAGCCCGAGATGTGATGGGAGCTTCAGTCGGGATGTAACAATTTGGTATCAGAGTCAATCCATAGCCGAAAGTGTGTCAATGAGGACATCGGACCCTTAAGGGGGGTGATTGTAACATCCCACATCGTCCAGGGGAGTGGATCATATAAGAGTAGTTCTAGCGTGGGAACCCTCCCCCCAGGCAATACACTATGCTATCCACCCAGTTAACAGTAACTGCCATTAATGAACAGTAATCACCTTTTGCATCTCCACCGTTGCACTTCAATAGCCCTGACGATGGGTAATAAAATATTAGTATTTTTTATTTATTTATAAAATAATACAAAATAATTTTATTTTTAATTTCAGATGAGATTTTTAATCATTATCGTTACGCCTCGTGTCATAAAATCCGAAAAGACAATTATTGGTGATGGATTTCCGATAAGATTTTTAATCATACTCATTGAGCCACGTGTCGTTACCCGTAAGCAAACTATGAGTAACTTCAACCCATCTAGTACACAACGCAATATCTTCAAGAAGCGTCCAATTCGTACTTGCATCAGTAGTCATTTTGTTGAAAAAAAATTGGATTGAAACTTTGAGAGAAATATAGGAATTTGATTGAAAGTAGTTGAGAAAATATGAAATTGTGGTGTAAGGTAGATGATAATGAGAAGGTATTCATAGAAAAGTAAAAACAATTCTTTTAAAAAAAAATTTCAGATTTTTTTTCCGATTTTTTACAATTTTTTAAAATTTTTTATTGAACTAATTAATCTCTGCCGTTGGATTTAAAAAAAAATCAAATTCCAACACTCCAGATTGTGCCACATGTCACAACGGTAACTTTTCTTAATTTTAAAACTATATTTTTCTTTTTATTTATTTATAAAGCAGAATAATATCAACCGTTGATCTCAGACCCAACGGTTGATATTAAATAAGATTTTTTTTTTAATTTTTATTATTGTTGCATTTAAAGAGCTGTCGAAATCGAACGGACCGTGAGAAGCCACGGTAACCTCAGCAGACTGTGACGCAGGTCCCATACTTTGAAAAGCTGTCGGCTGACGCGCCCCCACGGGCTGGTGAGTTGTACGCGCTTGACAGAAAAAAATATAAAATTGGGCTGGTGCCAAGATGACGTCAGCCCTGACGTCACATCCACTTGGGCTGGCAATTCCTCACAGGCCCGGAGCTCGGGCCTCCACTCTCCATCGGGCTGCCCACGCTGGAGCTTTAAGGCCCGGCTATGTGGCCCTATGTCGTCCTCCATCCCCCGAGCATTAGCCCACGCTGGAGTTGCTCTAAGTTTTATAGGTATATTCTCATCTCTACCTAGCATGAGGTCTTTTGGGAGCTCACTAGCTTTGGGTTTTGTAGGAACTCCGAAGTTAAGCGAGTTCGCGCGAGAGCAATCCCATGATGGGTGACTCACTCGGAAGTTCTCCTCTGAGTTCCTAGAAGCAAAACCATGAGGGTGTGGTCGGGCCCCAAAGCAGACAATATCATGCTACAGTGGAGTCAAACCCGGGATGTGATGAGGGTCCGGGCAGGAATGTGTCAATTTTGATTTGGACATAAACAAAAGGCGCACTAACAAGAGTTGTTACCTCTGTGCTATGCGAAGGATCTGCATTACGAGAGAAAGGCAAAGGGTTTTTAACCGAAGCTGTGTACCGCTACGATGTCATTTGGGTTTCTCTCTTCATATATCATAATTTTTGAAATAAAAATTCAACCAAATTAGTGAAGGTATCACTTGCTAATTTATTTAAAAAAATAATATAGAAGTTGTTTGCAAAATAATAATAATAATAATAATATAGAAGTTCGCATTCACGGTTATATTAGTTTCCTCAAATATCTCATTTTATTTATGCCGCAAAATTTAAATGCACCGTTTTCGTATTCGAAGAATGAATCTAGCATGGGAGTAAAGAAGGAACAAATTGCACGACAAATATAGAAAGGAGTATCGATTAATTGCATTAAATTAACTCATGAATATAAGATGTTGTTTCATGACAGGCATGAACAAGATAACATAAAAACTATGAATCACTTTCATTTCACTTTCTACTATTTTAGTAAAATCATATAAAATACACTTTATAGATTTATACTACGTGCACGAGTAATATCACACGACAAGAGTAAATATATAGCCAATCTAATTTGGGTCTATTGGCCCATCAACAGTCTTTCTAATCTGGGCCGGACCAGCCCCCCGAGTAAGACAGTCTTCCCACCAAACCTTTTGGATTTGGGGGCCAAAAATATGAGACATCCAATTTCTGCTGTTGCCTGTTGGTACGCGCGCGTAATGACACGGCCTTGAGAAGAAAAGAACTACGACGAAGGTGCATTTCTTCATCTTCTTCCTTAGCACTCTCTCTGTATCTATCTCCCTCTCCTCGCAGAAACAGTGCTAAGCCCCTCTCTCTCTTTCTCTCTCTACGTAAATGTACCCTCTGGAACCCCTTCTAATTTCGCTTGAATAATTTCAAAATTATCATCCACCGCATCAATTTCTCGACCCCTTTATCGAATTCGATATATATATATATATATATATATTTTTTTTTTTTTGCCGAGTTTCTTTGTTTCTCCTGCTCGGCGGTTCTCGATCGACGCCTGTTCGAGTTTGAATTCAGAAATTTAGGGTTTGATCGGTGGGTGGTCGGGAATAGAAATCATGATTAAACCCAAGTGGTTTTTTGGGGGGAAAATTTCCCACTTTCGTGGGCTTTTCAATGGAACTTTTACTTTGGTATTGGTCTTCTTGTTCTACAGCCAGGAAAGTTTTCTCAGAAACCCTTTTCTGGGTAGCTCGCATTTGGTTCTTCCTTCTCGATGGAGCTCCAAATTCAATGGATTTGGCGATCCAAGTCGTCGGGTCGATATTATTCGCAGGGGAATGGCCGAAGTTGATGTTTATGCTTCGAATTCTAGTGTCAGTGTTAATGGGTCGGATGCCAATTTGTTATCAGGACCTAATCCCGAATTATGCACAAGGTTGTTCAAACACGAAGGTTACGGGAGCAAATGTGAGTTCTTGATCGCCCATCCGGAGTGTACTTCCGGTGGTTATTTTAATTACATTCATTTCTTTTACTGCAGCTGTGAGAAAGTTTGCATTTTGGGGTATGTAGTGTTGGCAATATGGTTAGCTGCTTTGTTCTATCTATTGGGCAATACCGCCGCAGATTACTTTTGTTGTTCTCTGGAGAAGCTGTCGAGTCTCATGAAGCTACCGGCGACTGTGGCCGGTGTGTCTCTGCTTCCGCTCGGGAATGGTGCTCCTGATGTGTTTGCCAGCATTGCTGCTTTTGTGGGTAAGGATACCGGGGGAGTTGGTCTTAATAGTGTGTTGGGTGGAGCTGTCTTTGTTACTTGTATTGTTGTTGGGACTATATCTCTATGCGTGGCGGACAAGGGGTTTCAGATTGATAAGAAATGCTTTATCAGAGATATATGTTTTTTCCTCTTTACTGTTATGTCTCTTGCCTTAATGTTGATGGTTGGTGAGGTAACTGTCGGGGGTGCTATAGTGTTTGTCTTGATTTATGTGGTTTATGCGTTTGTGGTAGCTGCAAACGAGCTTCTGAGGAAACATGTTCGGAAATTGAGGTTGGATGCTGTAACACCGTTGCTACCGGTCAGGGGAAGTATATTTTCTCAGGGAAGCAACGAGGAGGAATCTGTATATGCGTCGCTCCTTGAGTCTGAATCAGACAGTGAGGTACCTCATCTCCTAAGTAAGTTGCCACAGTGGATGTGGGCATCAAATGTGGCAATTTATTCGAATCAGAATGTGAAGGCTCGTTCAGAAAGTCCAAGGTCATTGTGGGGTTGGAACGAGGATGAAACAGTGAAGGAAAACTCTTCCTCTTTTAGATTTTTATCACTGCTGGAAATTCCGTTGACGCTGCCAAGACGGTTGACAATCCCTATAGTCGAGGAGGATAGGTGGTCCAAAGGTTATGCTGTTGCCAGTGCTGTACTAGCTCCCATTCTTCTGTTATTTTTATGGAACACCCAAGAAGATGTCGGATCTCTGAGTAAGGAAATTGCCTACTTTATAGGCTTTCTCTGCAGTGGTGTCTTTGGTGTTCTTGCATGTCTACACACCAGACCGGACCAGCCCCCTCAGAAATTTTTATTTCCATGGGTTTTAGGAGGGTTTTTTATGAGCATCATCTGGTTCTACGTTGTTGCAAATGAGCTGGTCGGGTTGCTGGTGGCGTTTGGCATAATTTTTAGAGTAAATCCATCAATCCTTGGATTGACTGTATTAGCATGGGGCAACTCAATGGGTGATTTAATGTCGAACACTGCATTGGCAATGAATGGTGCAGATGGTGTACAAATTGCAATGTCAGGATGTTATGCCGGGCCTATGTTTAACACACTTGCTGGTTTGGGGATCTCAATGGTCCTTGCATCCTGGTCTCAGAGACCGGAACCATACAAAATTCCCAAAGACAATAGCCTGTTTTATACAATGGGATTTCTAATATCAGGGCTTCTTTGGTCACTTGCTGTGCTACCGAGGAATGGCATGCGCCCTAACAAGACCTTAGGACTCGGCCTCATAACCATCTATCTGGTATTTCTCTCCCTTAGGCTAGGCACGTCAATGGGCTTATTGTGGTAGATCTATGAGGAAGATCTCATTGATTGATAACTAAAAATATGTTGCGTCTTGTACAGTGTTGAGTTGGAATGGCAATGTTGACCTAGTAGTTGTGTCTTTCAGCATTGCTAACTGATGCCGAATTATTATCCCAGATAATGTATTACAACTTCCATGTTAATATGAAAACGAGTTTTTGTTTCCACGAATTCAATTTGCCTACTTATATAACCTACCTTATGGTTATTTAAGATTGTTATTTCTCTGTGGCGTTTTACACCTCTACTTGGTGATGAAATGTTGCGACACTTTTTCATTAATTGGTTTGTTATGTGTGGTTTTGTTGACGAATGCTTGGCATACTTCTGTAACATTTCTCGTGCCTACTGCGAACTGGTTAACTGAATCAGGCATCTCAGCTAATGTTTAGATTTTCCGGTACATGCTTGCCTGTGAAGACGGTAGAAACATAAAGCTGAGATGTCCGAAGGCCCGTGGACAGAAATCTTACACCAGTACTCGGTAGCTTAGCATCATGATGTTATCATTTATGAGTCTCTTGTAATCAAATTTCCCATCCCATTAGTTGTAGCGAAAACATGTTTCATTTCAGAAACGTTTCGTTTGTTTGAAATTCCCTGTTTTGGCAACTCAAAACGGGAATGACATGCTCCGGCTTCTGCAGCGGCATGGCTACCTCCACGAGATTCAATTAAATGGCGAAGTCGGGCAAGAATTCTTGTTTGGTCTTCTTTACGTTGTGGAATTGGTTTGCACTTTTCGTTGCTTATTTATTAGAAACGGATTCTGTATCGACGGTTAGTACATTGGTGGTGCATCCTTTTGAGAAGAGTAAAATGTTGCAAAAAAAACACCTAAAAGCTTTAACAGACGAGTTCCCAGTTAGTACAGGTTGGGGCAACTAAATGATTATCCATCAAACAATCCATGAAGAACGAAAATTAAAGGATTAGCAGCTTCCAAAATGCAGAAAATTGAACTCTTGTCTGCTGCAGAATCGCAGATCATCTTGTTTCGACGTGAAATCAAGGAAAGCTTCTTTAGAATCTGTATAAAATTTAACACCTGGTGGATTCACCATAGATGTAGTCGAGAATCGTAATGACTCCAATAACGAAGGCTTGATCCGTTCCCGGTGTCACCACGACATGGTAGAGATCCTCGCTTGCCATCATTTCCTTCTTCACCCCGATCTGCGTTTCATTTTAAACAACGACGAGTCCACACCTTAATCATTTCAGAAGCAATTTACAAACAAGGAAAGTCTTATATGTTCATCGCGAATGCGAATTACTTACCTGTGCCATTGTTTTGCCCTCGGAGTCAACAATACAACAATCCTTATCAGGAAAATTGCCCTTGATCTCAAAGTCCCAGTCTTTGTTCTTTGTGGCTTTCGTTGAGATTCTGATTGCTCGAGTCCTTGCCAAGCACGAGTTCGGCTCTTTTAAACAGAAAACCATCTGGTCCTGCGATCCTTCGTAGTCTAAACTGTACCCCCTCCATCTCCGATAAATGCTTAGGGCCTCAACCGTTGCACCCTGGTGCATATTCGAATCAATATGCATGAAAGTAAATTGATTAAGCATCCCTAACACCTCTTCATGCACATGTACAATTCAAAAAATACATGTATATGCGTGATTGATAGTGTACCTTTCGGCGAAAGAGAAGCAAGGCGTCTCCATCACTGTCCCTCAGAATCATCTCATCCTTTTTCCCCAGAATTCCACATCCGTCAACCTTGAAAGCAACCTTCTGCCTACAATCCGTAACCACAAAACCACCTCCGTTGATCACGTGTGGCCTCCTCCTCACGACAAGCACAGCCTGAGAAGACGAACAGTACATCTTGCTAATTATAGGCATGACGGTATTGTCTTTTGCTGCCATCTCTTTCTTTGATATCTACCGGAGACTCTTCTGCTGCGCTCGATGACAAAGTTCGAGCTTGATCTCTTTGCTAACAAGGGTCTTTTCTTTTATACACAAAGCTTAGAGAGAGACTAGTTGTTTCTTGCGCAACAAGAGTTGGAGGAATATCTGATTTCAAATGTTTGGCAAGTTTTGACTCTGCATATACAATGTGCACTAGTTGGAAGAGTATCTGAATTCAAATGTGCTTGGCAGAGATGCAGTTGCTTGCTCGAGACGGCGATTTCTAGCCAATGAAACGACAGAGTTTTCGCGTGGGATCAACAGTTTTCCTCAAGGCAAGAGGCTTTTTGTTTAATTATCTGAGTTTGGTAGCTCAAAGTCGTAAAAGAGAATATTTCGAAGGGTAAAGCTCTTCGAAAGCATCTTGTTTGGAGTCCAATTGGACTGCAGTTCAAAGAATCATTGATATCTTCACGTGAGCTTTTGAATTATTGCAACAGATGCTTGTCACCTTTCGAAGCAAGCAAAATTTAACAAAAGGATTCAAGTCCATATAATTATGCTAATTTTGCACTTAAAGTTGTAAAAACCCAAAATTGGGGATCAAAACCTCTCCAAGGCATGTATTTTGGGAAGAGAGTTTGGGATTTGGTGTTGGGGGTTGGGGATTTGGGATTGGTAACCACTACCCACCCAGATGGATAAGGTTGCAAATGGGCTGAGGGAACCACAATTCACTGGACTAGGATTATCTCTCTTCCTCTTTTTATCCCCTTCCATCATCTCCTTTCACATTCTCTATTTTGTCTTTCTCTTTCTATAAAAAATTACTATAAAATGTTGATATAGCTTAACCGTGACCATTCAAATATGAGGGGAGGGAAGGGGAAGGGAAAAAAGAGGGAAGAAAATCTGCAAATTGAAGAGCAGATAAAGGCAGGCCCTGTGTGTTTGCAACATCAGCAGGAACGATTGTATGCTGGCGAGCGTAAGGAAAACACAATTTCTACGGCCTAGATTAAAGGGTCGTTTAGATCCAATGGTTGGCGTGCCTCTTAAGTTTTGATCCAATGTGGCGTTCCCAACTTCATCCATCTCTGAGATTTTAAATCCTTAAGTTAGAGATAGCCTAATTGCACTTTAAAAGTTGTTTTGGATTGTGTTTTATGGTCCATTTCTAATTGGATTGTGTTTTGTGGTCCATTTCTAACCGACAATATAAGGACATAAGCGACATTCTAATCAAGAGCATGTGATACCTAATACAATCACGACGGACAAGTACAAAATGCCATATAGGGAAATGACCTGCCAGTCCACTGGCCCATATGCCAAGCTGAACAGGAAAGCCATCTTTCTAACTCATGTGATCGTTTATTTAAAACTCATTTCCTACGTTGGCTTGGTTAATCATTACGGTGTGGTTTAGTGGTTGAAAATGAATTTTAAGTTCGTATTTCATACGGTATATTTTGTGTTTGATTTTTGATGTTAGTAAATTGCACGATAATGATCAGTAAAAAATTGAAATGTCTGTGTGAGTCTTTTTATAATCCCAAAAAAATGAATAACTGTAAGAAAACCACCGGCTAATCCATTAAAAAAAAAAAAAACAGAGTTCAATTTCAAATCCTTCAGGACAAACAATTTTCATGAATTTCAGTGAAGGACAATATGGTCATACTAGCGTACAAATGAACTGCACAAATAGGAAACGTTTACAAAATAGTGAAAAAAATTGTTACAATTCTAATTTGTGTAAGTTCAGCCTTCAGTTATCAAAGAAGGTCATGAGCTAAAACTCATAAATAAATATAAACATGTCTTCACTCTAACGTTTTTTCCTCTCTTTCACATTTCTCTCAAACTTCTCTATCTTCTGTATATTATCAACAAGGGAATTGTTAGTAACACTCTAAAAATCTCATTCTACACTCCAAACTTTATATATTAGGAAAGAAAAATACACTTGAGAGGAGTGTAAAATGAGATTTTTGGAATGCCAATAACACTTCCCTATCAACAACAACGAAAATCTTTTATATTTGCACTCACAATGTATTTCATCTACTGTATATTAACGAAACATTAAAAGAAAAGACAAATTCTCCAACTCGTCAAGCTTTCTCTCTCTCTCTCTCTCTCCCCCATGGTTTTTCCGTTGATTTTGATGTGAGCTAGAGGTTAGAAGCTACGATTTTAGAGATATTCTACTTTCAATACGATTGCGACTTGTTTCCCACTAGTTCAGTATGAATTCGAGTTGCAAAAGACTTTGTTAGGATTTTGATATGTTGAGATCCGAGGTAATTTAGTGTTCTTGAGCATTGAATCGTTCCATATGATTGGATTGAATTGTTTTGATTCACATTTTTTTCAATTTTTTGAATTTGTTTTTTATTTTGTTGAAATTAATCCAAGCAATTTTTCGAAAATGAAATAAAAAACAAATTCAGAAAAATGAATAAAAAGCGAATCGAAACAATTCAATCCAATCATAAGAAACGATTCAACGCTCAAGAATACTAAAGTTCCGAGAATCTCAACTGATCAAAATCCTAACAGAATCCTCTACAGCTCGAATTTAGACTGAATTTAGTGGGAAACGAGTCGAAATCATAATGAAAGTAGAATATCTTTGAAATCGTAGCATCTAACCTCTAGCTCACATCAAAATCGACGGACAAGCCATGGATAGAGCTCCCGACGAGCTGGAGAATTTGTTTTTCTTTCTATGATTCGTTAATATACACTAGATAAAACACATTGTGAGCGTAAATATAAAAGATTTTTGTTGTTGTTGGATAATATACGGAAGATAGAGAAGTTCTAGAGAAATGTGAAGGAGAGGGGAAAAAAGTTGAGAGTGAAGACAAGCTTTGCCTGTGAGTCAGTGAGGGCATATTTGCCAAACAGGGTGATTGTACGAGTGCGCACGTGTGGAGTGTTGCATGGGCAACTATAGCAAAGGAAGAAGATGACGCCAATTGGTACAGCTTTTAGGCCATCTCTAACCGAAGGGTCCAGAAGGCTAGAGGGTCGAAAATAGCCCGAAAACCGTCTCCAACCGAGGGCTAGGCCAAAGGGTTGTGGAATCTGAGAAGGCCCCACGAAATCGGAAAGGGCTGGCCAGAAAAACTGGAAATCCTGTCGATTATAACCAACAGAAATACGTTCCTATTATTTAGTATAACCGATAGTAATACATTTATACTAAATAATAGCAATGTATTCCTGTCGATTATAACCGACATGAATGCTTTGATTATTATTTTTTTTTTTACCGTTTTATTATTATTTTTTTATTTACAAAATTTTTCCTATAACTTCTATTTTTCAAATTTTTTTTTTAAATTCTATGTTTTTCCTACAACTTTTATTTCACAAAATTTGTTTCATTTTATTTTAAATTCTATTTTTTTCCTATAACTTCTATTTCACAAAATTTGTTTCATATTTTTTTTAATTCTATTTTTTTTCCTATAATTTCCTAAGCCATTATACAACATTAAATTAAATTAAGTAACATGAAACAACATTAAATAACATTAACCAACATAAAAATTATACTACATAAAAAAAAAATTTAACAACATGAAACTTAAACAACATTTAAGTTGTAGTTTTTAAATAATAAATTATGTTTGGCCATATGGCTCTCGGTTGGAGACGGTTTTTTGTGATAGGGCTAAAACGTGCCCTCTGGCCCTTTGGCCATCGGTTGGAGACGGAAACAAATATGACTCTGTACTGTTCATTAAAATATTAATATCTTGTAGAATCTTGAAGGGTCAGAGGGCTAAAACGAGTTATCTGGCCAGCAATCGGTTGGAGATGACCTTACACACCATCTGCGCACGATAGCATCTTCACAGAAGAGAGGGGGGGGGAAGAGAGGCAGTAGTGCCTTGGGCTCTGTAGCCTGAGAGATGATGGGCCCGGCCCACTCAACAGGTCACCAGTGACCGATCCTTTTGCCGTAGTACTTTGGGAAAGAGCGGGAAATTCATCGGTTTGCATTATGCGTCGCCTCGGCGGCGGGACCCACTTGAACGAATGAATGATGAGACATCGTGGCCCACCTCCCTCCAGAAACGTGCCCACTCCCACCGATGGCGCGTGGAGCTCAAAAACCAGTCAGCAACCGAATGATGTTTAAGCACGGTTTGAAAAAGGTATGTGTGGTGGCTAATGTTTTTTATTTGTAGTGTAATATGTCCAACCGAATGATGTTTAACTTGTGTGATTTAGAATGTGTCATTTGTTAGGGCAGTGTTGAATTGTGTGCTACAGTTTGGTTGTACAGTAGGTTGTGTCGTATTGATACATGTTATAAGTATTTATGACTAAATATGATTAATTATAAAAAGTAAAGACATAAGTACTAATTGAAGCAGTAAATCAAATATACATCCATAAATGGTATTAAATGATTGACTTTATAGACAAGCATAACAATATACATCCAAAAACTTGTACATGTGTAGCATATAACAAGTCATGAAACTTGTACAAGTGTGCCACGTTACATGACAAACACCACCAAGTACCCAATGTAGCATTTGTGAAGTTCTCCTATTAGATTTCAACTCATAATCAAGGTTTTATGCTCATTTCTCGGTAAGCATGGTTCATTTTATACAAATTTTCTTGAGCTCTTTTTGCATAAAAACGACGAGCACCCTGCAACGATTCCGTTGCAACTTTCAAAATATTTTCTGATTGTTCTCCTATTGTACATAAAATTTTCAACTTATATTACATTTTACTCAAAATCTGCCCATTAATTAACGGGTCATTTATGAACCAATTCCACCGATGAGAGTATAGTTTTATTGTAAGCCGTCCAAATCGAATCCAACGGAACAACTTGGTCCACCCTGTTGTCCTGCAAAGGGTGATCCGCACAAGAGAATTGGCATAATTGAGATTAAATCTCTGATTGCTGAACCTGACAAAAACGACATGGCAGGGAGGAGGAGCAGGAGACAATGCTTTGGGTTTGGGGGGTAGAAATTAAATTATGGGAAGGATCTTGGTGAAAGAATATTTCCCCGGTACATGAAAAAGTTCTCAAAAGTGGGACTGAGGGTAAAAGAGGACTATTATCACTGTCATTTTTGTGTAAATGTAGTAAAAAGGCGATCCCCAAAGTTCAAACCCAATGGGACAACTTGTTTAGACACTCTTGTTGAGACAATTTTCAATTGAAGTGTGGTCCTATCATCATATATGGGACTATCTGTATTAGAGAGTGTTTAACAAGTATGATGAGTGGTGAATCGGTAGTATGGATATGGTGGTATGCGGTTGCCCATGACAGTAGCCACAACGTGAAACGTTGAAAGCGTCAAAGAAGCCTGATTTTTATTTTAATTTTTTTCATCTTATTCAAACCTTGACCAAAATGACGTTGTATTGGCCATTTCTAAAATAGAAAACGTCTCTTTTAAAAATGACTTTTTCAGCATCTTCTCTATTTCAAACCTATTTCAACAAAAATTACCCACTTCGCTCAAATTTCTCTATCCAACTTATTTCCTCAATTCCTTAGTGAGAAAATAACTTTTTAGCTTTTATATTTCTCTCAATATATATATTTTTTTAATATTCCATGTCAGTTTATATGTCGAAATAGCATTACTCTTAGCATTTAGTCCATGTAGTTTTAATTTTGACAATTGTGATTATGTAGTTTGTTTACTTTTGCAATTATTGAAAAATCACTAGTTTGGTGAATGAAGAATGAAACCTAACGTGGCAGCAATGTGCATTGGCAATTTCAACATTTCAAGCGCATTGATTTTACAAGAAAGCGTCACCTGCGTGGACACAAATCAATAAGAGAAAAGTGAATATAAAACATGAATAAATCAAAATGTTCATGGTCTTTTATGAATCTAGAATTCTAGATTGTCGTTTTAGGTACACGAATACCCAATATGCATGTCGCCATGCCAAATATTTCTACTTCAGTTCAACAAAGTTAATGATTGAAACTACCAAATTTACAAAAGCAAATTAACTTTGCCCAAATTGAAACTTCAAAAACTAAATGAAAAACTACTGCCTCGCCTAAAAATTAAGATAAAAGTCGACGACAGTACAAATAACACGAGCACATTATTATCGTAGCACCTCGTACTAATATTACAATAATGTGTGTAAATTCCTCTTCCCATAAGGTTAAATTTTTGGCACGAAACATCAATATAGCAGCTAGGTAAAGGCAAAGGTAAATTTGACATGAGATTTTACCCAGATGGTTAGTTATTCTCAGAGTCAGGGCTGATTTGTCCAAAGGCTCTGATTTGCCCAAACACCTCTGATTTCCCCGCCTTTTCTCTTTCCTACGCAGTGGTCACGTGCGGTCTGAGGTACTTCCCCATCGTGCTTTTCGCTCCTTCCTCTGCAAATCCTGCAACTCACTCACCCCTTCACACTAAAAATAATACAAATTGGACCAATTTATTTATTTTTAATTTTAAAAAAAACCCACAATCATACAAAAAGCTTGAGTTTTTACTTGTTTTTGTATAAATCCAACTCCAAAAATCTCACTCAAAAGCTCTCAACTTTGCCAAATGCGTCCGTATACACAGACACTTGCAGTTGCAGGCTTTTTGCACAGCCGTCTTTACTATTACCATTGCCATTATTAACTGATTAATTAATTAATTAATTATCTCTGCAATTACCAAAACATGCAAACAAAACACAGATTAGATGTGCCTCGAGAAGGAAAACAAAACAAATCAAAACCCAAAAATCCATCTTTTTTGAAAAACATTCATTCAATCGAATCACTCCATTGAGCCCTGTGAGTTGTGAGAATTTTCAATTCATGGCAACCCCTTTTTGTAATTCTAATAATGTTAATACCCTTTTAATAACGTTTTGATAAAGTTTAAATCTTTACACCCTCCCATTAATCCCCTCTCCTGTTTGCAGAGCATTTATGCACCGTGCAACGTCTCTTTTTATCCCTGTCAGAGCCCCTAATTACTGCTTTCTACCATTTCATTTCTACACCTACCATCATTTGCTTTGCCGCTTCATAAGTGCTTTTCTGCTGAGTGCTTTTGATTGATGAGCTTTTTTTTCTAATTACTAATAGCTGCAACTGCAGTGCTTCTATCAGCAGCAATACTGCTACTGCTTTTCTCTCTGTAATCTCCGCTGTCGTTTTCTTCATTTGGGGTCTGTGTTTTAGGTGATTTAGCAACTGGGATTTGGTTACTATTTGGAATGGCAGCTCCTTCTGGTAGCTCTGCTTCTGTGCCGTCTCTGCCACCGCCACGCCCAAAGTCGCCGCCGCAGTATCCTGATTTGTATGGGAAGCGCAGAGAAACAGCCAGGGTTCAGATGCTCGAGAGGGAGATTGGTTTTCTTGAGGTAACTCTAATTTTTCTTACTTTTTGTTAATTAATTAATTTAAATCTCCTTTTGAGTTGAAAAATCAAAACTTTGAGTGCAATTATCATTGGGTTAAGTTGTTAATTAATTAATTTAAATCTCCTTTTGAGTTGAAAAATCAAAACTTTGAGTGCAATTATCATTGGGTTAAGTTGGTAATTAAAAAATTTCAAGTCCTGTTTTTCTTTGTTTTTGTAAATCATTCTTGGATTAAGAATCTAATCTTTTAGTTAATTGGACTGGAAAAAGCTTAACTTTTATTTAATTTCTTTAGCTTAATTCTGTGAAAAGTGAAAAGGTGGGACTTCCATTTTTGTGAACAACAAATCATGATTAAGAAAATCTTCATTTGAGGGTGTGCTCATAAAGCTAGACAATATGCTGGTTTAACACTTAATTTAAAGTTAATTAACATGGAAATGATCAGTTCAAGTTATTTGGTGGAGATTGATCCTGATTTACTACAAACCCTTTCAATATTGTTCCGTTTTAAGGACTAATTAACTCGAAAGTTTCGGAACTTAATGTAGTCGATCCAATGAATAATACTCCTCTGTTTGCTTGGTTTAGTAAGTTTTGGTTAATCATATTATACAGGTGACTCTAATTAACTTCGTTTAGCAGCGCAAACCCCACCGGCGTGGACGATGAACTCCGTGAACTATTCTTACCGGTTTTGCATAGTCTTCAACCGGGGATCAACTTGAATTAGTGATAGTGAATTAGAATTGGTGGTATTCTGTTTGTCCTGTCACTTCGTACACTGGAAAGTGTTTGGCAGGTTTTCATTGACTTCATGCGGTACCCTGTTTATCTTTAACATATCAGATAATAATACCAAAGTAGTTTGTCGGACCAATAGATAGGGATGGTCTTTGGGTTCATACGATCCATATGTAACTCAATCGGATTAGATTAACTCGAGGCATTAGAGACCATTAAGATGTTTCCAACTTGAGCTCAAAAACGGTTCATCTCTCATCTTTCAATGCTTATGTGGTAGCTTTCCACTGAATAATTGAATTTTGTGTCGTTGTAAACAACTTGATTGTCTATTGGAACCAAAGGTACTTTCGATAATTGAAGTGCTGCTCCTGCGTATCCCCAACGGAAATGCGCCTTTAATCAATCATGTCATAGAGTTTCCAAACGGAAAATATATTACTTAATATCTCATTTCTGTTTACTTGATTCTTCTTATTTGGTTTATGTGGAAGTTAAACAATTACCTTGTTTGTTTGCAGGAGGAACTAAAATCTGTTGAACGGCTTCAACCTGCTTCCAGATGCTGCAAAGAGTATGTCACTTTCTTCCATTACCTTTTGTAGCACGTAGTTCTCAAAATTGGAACTAGAAGAAGTCAAACTGAAAACCTACTAAATTTGTTTGCTTTAGTCATTTCATGACGAGGTGGTGATTCTCTTTAAATGTCGTGTTCGTCAACTGACAGTAGATTGAACATGACTATTTTGCAGGGTTGTTGATTTTGTGGTTGCAAACCCAGATCCGTTAATACCTACGTAAGAACAATGTCACCGTTTTGTTGTTGTTGTAAAGTTTAGTGCACCTGATGTGTATATGATCATTAGATTTTCTCTCTTTTAAACAGGAATCGAAAGAAACGCAGGTCATGCCGCTTCTGGAAATGGCTATGGTACCATTTTCTCTTCGTCTTAAAGAATTATGTTAGTTTACAAGTTTTGCATTCCAAAGTTTTGTTTTTATGTTTTTATAAGATGAAAATCGGTTTATACTGTACAGTGACTGCAATAAGAAAAACTGTGTTGACATTACAGAAACATTAAAGGATGTTGACTACTAATACTTTGGGTGATCTTGAATTAGTATATGCTGAGCACCGAGCATCCTTCCGTCAATATTGCAAAGACTTCTAACATTTAAGATGCAGCAGAACCTTTTGAGTTTTGTTGTGCTTTACATTAACCTTAATGGACTTTTACATTCGATGCAGTATTAGAAAAGTTGAATTGTTCCGAATATGACATACGCTTGTTTGTGGTACAGCGGAATGCCCTGTTTCAGCTGCTCATGGATTTTCTGTTGCTGCTGCGACGGGTGCTCTCTCCGCCTAGAAATGCCACGCTGCTGTGACTGCGGTCCGTGTAACTGTAATCCATGCGCCTGCTGTCCGCTACCAAAGTGGCGATGTTGCTGCTCATGTCCCCGCTCCAACTGCTGCAAAAATATTTCATGCGGCAGAAATTGTTGCATTTTCCCGTCCTGTTCATGTCCCGATTGCTCTTGCGCAAATTGTTGCATTTTCCCGTCCTGTTCATGTCCCGACTGCTCTTGCACAAATTGTTGCAAATGGAAATGCTCTTGCCCTAAATGTCCGAAGGTACGACCGTGTTGCTGTTGTAGAATAACCTGTTGCAACCCTTGTAGTATATGTTTTTAGTATTTATACCATCACTGTGGAAGCTTTGTTTTTCCTTTTTAGTCTAAATTATGCAAATATTGAACGATACAAATATTATGTGAGCTATGAAGAAACAGTTATGTATGAGAAACTCTCGACCTAAATGATCGACAATGGTTTTCAATACAAATTTGTACCCTTGTACGCAAGGTAGGTCTTATGTATGAGAAACTCTCGAGCTACATGATCGACAAGCGTCAAATCCGAAAACAGTCATTAGTACGCAAGATTTCCGTAGCGGGCCGGGAAACTTTTGAGAATTAAAGCAGTCTGATTGTTTATGGTCTCGGTTCAAACTCAAGCAGCCTGATTCCTATATATGAGAATTGAACTCTCATGAACCACTGTGGAAGGTCTTTTTAACTTGCTTACGCGTCGGTGATCTCTAAACAAATTGGTGCAATTTAGAACAAGATTATATGCAAGCAAACTCCACCATGCAAATTAACCATGGGTATGTCATATTTTGATTCTATTACATTAGTTTTCGCTGGCAAACGAATTTCCTGCAGTTCTCTTATGAACTTCCACCCAAATTCAACCCACCCATCCCCATTGAACTGCTTTCCCCAAAAGTCGAAATCATCCCAAAACCAAAAGAACTTTCTGGCCCAACAACAGAAGGAAAAGAAAAAAAAAAAAAAAAAAAAAAAACCCGAATTCTTAGTCTATCAACTGCGTCCATGCAAAAGCAACCGGGCTTTTGACTAGGTGTTGTGGGTTTGCCCACACAATTGACCCAAATTCCGACCTTGCTGTTTTCTCTGCGCCCGGCAAAGCCATAAATGTAACTGTGTACTTCTGCTTCTCTCCTACATTGTTGAACACGAGCCTTGTGGGCTTCACGACGGTCCTCACCGTCGAAGGACTGGTCACGGAGGCTCTGTATACAGAGCCGGCTGCGCCGACATTCGTCAATTCCCGGGTGTACCTCACAACCCTTTTGTTCTTGCTCCCGAACGCGATTGAGAACGAAGGGTAGTTGAGCTGGCCGGGGTCCGAATACTTTCTCTCACAAGTAACATTGGGCCTCTTGACAATGGCTTGGACATGCTCATTGGTGTACTCCAATGAGCACAAAAATGCAATGTAGTCCTCGGCGGTGGTGTCATAAACCAGGCCCGGTGAGAGCGCCTTCGAGGGGTCGACATGGCCGGAGCCGTGCCCCCATGGGTTAGAAAGCGTGCCGTCGGCCGCGTCTCGGAGGGGGGACTTGGTGTTGTCATGGGTGTAAGCTGTGGTCATTAGGGCAGATTTCACAGCACTTGGGCTCCATTCTGGATGGGCCGCCTTGAGCAGTGCTGCAAGCCCACTAATGTGTGGGCATGACATTGATGTACCTGCAACAAAATCACAGAGGTCGAGTCAACTTCAAATTGGTCAACATCGTCAACGGTCATGATCAAATCACAGTTAACAAACTAGCCGTTACCTGACATGATGTTGAACTGGCTCTTCCTCTTGTCATCCTCAAGCCCGGTGGGCCCGATCGCCTCCGACCACGCTGCCAAAATGTTGACACCTGGACCAATCACGTCCGGCTTCAAGATCTGGGGGATCACCGTATTGGGCCCCCGTGAACTAAACGCCGCCACGACCGGTGACGGCCGTACATTCAACACGGTCCCGCCGAAGGTAATTACAGCCGTAGGATTGGGATCGTGCTGAGCATATGCCCTGATTTGATCACCGACTTTTCTTCCGACGGCGACAGCTGGTAGCAAGTGACTGTCAGCCACCAACTCCTCACCACTGGCGGCGGTGTTGGCGATTATCATCCCAATCCCACCAGCTGCGCGCACGACGCCACCTTTCTCGACACGTGCGTTGACGCCTCGGTCGCACATCACCACTTTCCCACGCACCAAATCCGGGTTCAGCGAACCGGGTAGGCACAAGTTACTAGAGCCGTTGGACCCCTTATTGTAAACCAACTGGACCGGTTTGTTTCCCATTCCGGTCCCGCTGTAAAGAGAGACTCCGGTGAACCGGAGTTTGTTGCCTAGCGAAGCGTAAGCCGGAAAATCCCGATCCAAGGTCCCGGCTCCAACGGTCATGATCCATGGGGCTGTGTTGGCCAACGAGGCCTTAGTGGGCCCACTGTTCCCTGCAGAGCATGAGACGAAAATACCCCTCTCCATAGCCGTGAACGCGCCAATCGCGATCGTGTCGCGGTAGTAAGGAGCGGAGCCACCGCCTAGAGAGAGCGACAAGACGTCGACGCCGTCGATGATGGCGCGATCCATTCCCGCGATAATGTCCGAACCGAAACATCCGGTGCTCCAGCAGACCTTGTAGGCGGCGACGCGCGCGTGAGGCGCCATTCCGCGAGCCGTTCCGCTCGCGTAACCGAGGAGGCTGGCGTTGGCCACGAGGGACCCGGCGGCGGTGCTGGAGGTGTGGGTGCCGTGACCGTCTATGTCGCGAGGAGACACGACTTCGCTCGGCTTTCTCAAGTTGCTTCCGCCGGAGGCCATTTGATAACCTTTGGAGAAGCTCCGAGCTCCGATTAGCTTCTTGTTGCAGAGAGTAGCGGCAAAATCAGGGGCAGATTCGCACTGGCCGCGCCACTTGGTCGGGATCTCGGGCATTCCGGTGTCGTCGAAGCTCTTGGACTCGGGCCAGACCCCGGTGTCCAGAACTCCGATTATAACGTCATTGGATGCCTGGTTCAAATCCTGGGTCGAGTGACCCGCCCAGAGTCCCGATTCGGTATCAAGACCCAGGAACTCCGGGGTACGAGTGGTGTGGAGGTTGTAAACCGTGTCTTCGTAGACACCAATGACAGAGTCGGACTGGCGGAGCAGCTCGGCCTGGTCCGGATCTAAGGAGGCGGCGAAGCCGTGGTAAGCGTCGGTGTAGGTGTAAAGGAGGGAATCTGAGTCGGAGGAGAGGGACTGGAGGCTGGCGGAGTACCAGTCATGGTGGGTCGCGTAGGATTCCGGCTTGGAGTGTTGGTTCATGTGCACAATGTAAGTCTGCTTCGCCATGGCTGAGAGACATGGGAGAAGAAGGAGCAGAGCTCCGAACCAGAAGGCCTCGGAGGCCATGGCTAAAAAGCTTGAGCTGGGTAGATTTAGTATATCCAAATGTGGAAGATGAAGAGAGAGTGAGAGAGTACAGTCGCTCTGGAGCCGCGACTGCCAGAAAGGGGTAGAAGAGGATAGAGGGAGAAAGAGACCGATGTCGGGCTTATAAGCATGAGGGGATCTCGAATGCGACATTCATTTGGGTTTAATTACTCCGATGCCATTTCCCCGCAATAATAATCACATTTTTGTTAATATTTAATTTTAAACTCCGATGCCATTTCCCCGCAATAATAATCACATTTTTGTTAATATTTAATTTTTAGTTTAATAGTTAATTAGGATTAGTAATTTAGTATCATGGAAGTAAAGCTGGATTCTACGTGATTAAGGTGAGGTTTGGTATTTGTTAATTATATCTGTGTTGAAATTCAGTGTTTTATATGACTTTTTTTACTAGCACCCCAAACAATGTTGAATACACTTTATATTTTAAATATCTTATAAGTCCTAACATGTAATGACAATTTTGACCTAATTAAATATAAAAATGGAGCACCACCAGAAAATGGAAGACATGGCCGGTCACCACTGGTTAACACCACCGTATCTGGATGGGAATGAACAAAACTTCCCATTTGGGGATTAAGGTCACTTGACCATCTCGTATTTCGCTGAACCCCGTAGGTATTTGTCATACCAATAGAAGCAAGGGCAAGTAGGATGGTGAAACAATCCATTATGTGGGTAAAGCCTATATGGATCAAGATTATTTTCAGCATAATGTCCAGAAAAGTATGGAAGCGATGGTTGCTCATATTGCCTGGGAAAGGGACGAGGAGCTTCACTGTGCATGCGGGACCCAAAAGGATCACTATATTTAGGATAATTGTTTGAAATATGCACAGAACAGTGTGGTTTGTCTGGGGTTTATTAGTATGTGAGGTGTATTCAACAATATATCAAATGTTAATAAAACAACCCGTTTTTTATTTCTAATCCTACGCATGTTCATGGAACTTTCTTTATAGTATTCACTTTATAATTAGATATTAATTTCAATCTTTACCTTGGTTTCTACTAATAAAAAGAAAGATGGTGGAAAGACCGTGTATTTTGTAAACAATCAGACCTCTGTATAAAAATGGGGGCCAGATCCATGGCATCGTTTTCTTTACACAAGTTTTTTTGGGGTCCATTTTATAGTATATTTCAACAAGTTTGAAATCATATGACCTTAGATTAAGTGTTCAGGGTTTTTATGTAGAATTGTTCTCATTCATTTGTTGGCTATAAATAATGCCTAAGTGGTCTTGGATTTCTAATTTTTTATAAAAATGATCTATGAATGATAACATAAAAGATAAACGGTTCGGAATATTAAAACATATTACCGATTGAACCTCATAAAAACGTATGTAAAAAATTAAGTAAAAAAATAATGTCACATATTCGTGTCTTGTTTAATAGAAAGAGGATTAAATAGATTAAAACAAAATGCAATTATTGTAAAGCATTCACGGGCATATAGTATATCTTTCACTTCTGCGAAAGGAACAAAATTGTTTGACTATAGGGTTAATTTGTCTATAGATCAAATTGACGCATGAGCACACTATGGATGTGAGCTGGAAGCCGGTCACTTGGAAGTTATTGTGTGTGAGTGTTTTCTTTTCTAGTTTTCAGTTCAGCCGTCGACCTTAGCTTTGGTCACGGTCAGAGGCAGTCCCTTTCATTTTTTTTTTTTCTGTTTCTTCCCCTCTACTTTCAATTGAAATCGCTCATTGCCCTGATCGGAAAACTTCGTTTCGCTATCTCCCTTTTCTTCTCCCCACTTTATTTTCTCCTCCATGCATCCATTCTTTTCACTTTGTTTCCCTCCCACATGTGTTCGTTCTATATCGATTTCACTTTGGATTCGATTTGCTCCCACTTTGTTTCGTTGTATTCAATGGCTTTATCGAAAGGTGCATAAAGCCTCAGCTCAGGTGTTAGCACCACCACCTTCCACCTGTGAGTTGGTCTCAACACTGTTGTCAGTGGTTCCACTCACTTCCT